TCAATCAATCATTCATATCATATCACATATACATGATTGGAAATCTAACTTTAATTGCACACATCATGAACAGGAGGACCCGAAAATCATGCGTAATATTGAAGAATTTTCTGGCAGAAAGATATAATATAAACTTCCACTACTATAAGAGAACAGGAATTCATGTGTCTGCGTATATATATACGGCCTCGTTCACTTCGCTGATTCGAGTTTAGAATTTGAGTTTTTCTACAATAAAAAGCTCTCACAAACAATCACATCTAACTTTTTTACTACAGTAAAAAGCTCTCACATAAAATCACATCTCAACTTGAATTCTAAACTCAAATTAGCGAAGTGAACGGGGCCAAAATATGTGTATCCATGACCTTTTTTATTTATCATTCTCATCATCATGATATCACGAAGTCAAATCATCCAAAAAAGAAAAAAAGAGCAATGTAATCTTGTTGGCACAAAACATTCCATGCAGTTGATTAGACTGGTATAATTACAAGTGGCATAAAGAGCTTTTGAGGGCCACACTTAATTACATAATATTACTTACCCCTATATGCTCGGATATTTCATAATATTGCACTTTTATATCTCCACGCGGCATCAGCGTCAAACGGCTATGAACAACCAAATTTTGTTTTTTTTTCTTGTGAAACAAATTGATTGGGTCAGTATGACCTTAATTAACATCAAAATTACACAATTTATTATACCAATAATTTGGTGTTACGTACACTAATGTATTCCGTATCTATTAATTTGACTCTTTAGCTCCCTTTTAAACCCGTGCAGTGCACGAACTAGTTAAAACAATGGAGACCAAGATTCTGTGAGATTTAATACATATAATAAGGATTCTAAGTTTTATAACATAACACACGATGAATTGAAATTAGATATAGTCTTACATGGAGACGTCTGAGGAGGATTAGCACCAAACCATGTTATAATTAAGAGAACTATGTATTGATCTAATCTAAAGATCGTAATAAGGGTACAAATATAAAGTTTTTTGTCTTTTTTCTCATCAGAAGCCTAATTACAAGATATTTGTTTTGTTAGAATATCTGAATATGATATATGATATTTGCATAGTTGTGGATATCTTTTATTTTTTTAGTAAGAAAAAGAAATAAAACAAAAAACAAATAAGGAAGTTCAGATCTAGCCACAAGAGCTAATAAAACAAGAAAAATAAGAACAAACAGCCTGAGCAACTCTACAAAAAAAAAAAAAAAAAAAAAAAAAAAAAAAACAGTCGGAGAAATAATACAAACTAATAATACACAACTTTTCGTAAATTATTGAACTTCTCTAATCTATCCTACAACCCTAAAACTACAATCTCCATGTATTTTATTAATTAACTAATAAAAAATTGTGCCAACAAAAAATTTAATTATAAGCTTTGGTAATTGGTATTATGTAGGATCCAAAATTTGTTAAACAACTTGATGTTTGATTATTATTAATGTAATTTGAAATTCATTAGTTTTAATAAGAGACTAGTTGAAATTGGTTTTGAATCACCACAAAGTGGTATCCAGTAGAATCGATCTTCTTCCTAAGTGGTTTAGTAGATAAAAAGTCTCAAGTTCAAGTCTAATAAAAAGCACTTTAGCTATTTCATCCCGTCGGGGTATATTCATTAGCCCTGGTAGGGCTGCAGTGATTCGTTTTATCTTTTGACGAAACTATTAATAGCTCAAAGTGAATATTTTTCAATATGTGATGAGGCAACTTTGATTAAGCACAAAAAGTAGTTACGACTGGTCGTCTCTCTCCATATTTCATTTATTTGTATATATAAAAAAAGACATTGGTTTTGAAGAGAAATTATTTAGTACACATCATATTGCTTATGTGGTACACATGTCCAATGAAATTGTACTATTTAGACACCCGTCCAATAAGATTGTGTCATTTGGACATTTTGTCTATGTCAGCTTTTCACTTTTATTTTTCTCTTTCCTAATAGGTATTTGCATTGAATACTTATTAGGAAAGAGAAAAATAAAAGTGAAACGCTGATATAGACAAAATGTCCAAATGATACAATCTCATTGGACGTGTGTACCATATAAGTAATATGACGTAGTACATATAGCTGTATAGTTTAAGCGGCTTCAGAAAACGCACTATAGTAGGTATGGAAAAAACAGAGAAAATAAGAGATTATGATATCAAAAAGAACAAATGCTTGTTTGGTGGGTTTAGCTAAGCCTGTCGCATTAATTGAATTCAATATTATTGGTTATCTTATCATTCTACCTTTTATAAAATGAATCACTTTTTGGTGCAAGACTTGTTAAGAGTTTCAATACCCAGCAAGCTAGCAATCAAGGAAATAACTCTGAAGATCGCCGTTGATAGAACTTTTTGAAGCTAGATATCTAAATAGATCACGGACACGCACACACATATATATATGTATGTATATATATAACGATTTATAAGTAACTACGCCATTATATATAATAGATTGAAGTACAATATGGAAAAGTAGTATTTCCCACTGGTGGGATTTTATACTTTACCTTTCACTATAGTGAAAACTTGAAAACTAAATAAATATGATCAAACAATATATATAAGAATAACATATCCATTTCCATGCATAGTTCCAACTGTGGCACGTGTATATGCATACGGCAACTCTCCTAATGTTTGTCCCTATCACAAAAATAACTTTAGCATGAATATTTCAAAAAGCAGTAAAATCAACTTACAAAAAGCTAGGTTATTAGTCAAAGGTAAATTAGTTATGTGTCATTAACTTAGCTATTCAAGCTCAATAATTTTTCTATATATGTGAACGAGTTTTGAATGATTACGTTTTCATCGGTAGTTACACTAAATATAAAAATTTAATGACATAGCGTGATAAGAATTAAGTTCCACTAATTGTCAGAAATTTTTTTAGTCAACTATATAATTTATTATAACTGTCAAATTAATATCTTACAGCTAAAATAATAATACTAATTGATAGTTAAATATTAAAGTAACTATTAAAATCACACCCGTATATATATATATATATATATATATATTCACATAACTATAACTAGTCGTTTTCTTTAGTTTCTCTTCCTAAGAAAATGGCTAGAAGTAGTTCATAGAGAATATCTCTCCTACTTAACAAGGATTTGTACGGCGCGTCATATTAATTACTTGGGGGTCGATCAAAGAATAGAAAATATCTCTCCTACTAAATTATAATACGTATACGGAAATTATATATTAATAATTAGGAAATAGTACTAATCTTAAATATATCGAATATATATCATGAGGGATACACTTAGCTAATCTTATCATCTGTGGTGGACCATCTGAGTCTCCACCTACCACTTTAGAGCCCATCTATATCTTCAGAAAAACCACTAAAAAGCAGTCAGAAACGCTATACATATTATAATTGCTCACTTTTTCCTGTTCCATTAATTTTCTGTCCATCCAAACACAAACCCCTGATCAAATAAAATAAAGAAGCTAGCATTAACGTTAACTGGGGAAGGATAATGAGTACTTTAAGAGTATTCTTATACAACGGGTAGATACATGTAATTATCATGAGATCAAATGTTGACACTTGTGATTTCCAGTACAAAGGATTTGAATTCCCCTCGTTCACGCGTGACTAGGGTCAATAAAGCTAAATGAGATAGACCGCAATATCAATATATATATATATATATATGTGTGTGTGTGTATATATATGTGTATATATATATTCACTAAATGGAGAAGAAGGAGCTGAAATTAGAGAGACTTGACAATACCAATATACATACATACATACATATATATATATATATATATTCAATATAAGAGGAATTGAAATTACAGAAACTTCGCGTTTTTCAATTAGCTAGATTAGCACCGACTAGACAACTCAAACAAGCCTTTACTCTAATTTATTATATAAAAAAAAATATCAAATAAAAAAGTTTACAATCTACCTAGGTAGCCATCAAGAACGAATCAAAAAAAAAAGAAATACGTATATAAGGAAACCCTACATGGAGAGTAAAGGAAAACAAGCGAAAATAAACACACAACACAACTTTCATTTAGACAATATATATATATATATATATATATATATATATATATATATGTATGGGTGTAGTTTCAATGATTACTTCGGTATTTATTTATCAATAGGTATATTATTTTAACTATGTGATATTAATTAGAAGATTATAGTAATAAATTAGATAGTTGGTTAAAAAAATGTGCAATTAATGAGACGATTCTTATCACACTACATAATTAAATTTTTATATTTGATAGATAACTAAAAATAAAAACTATAACTATTGAAAACTCGTTTATATATATATATATATGTATATGTAGTTGTATTTATATATGTATGATAAAACATTAATCCAAACCCAACGGAAAAGGATTGCTGTTATAATGGAATAGTAGTGCGTATTGTTGATCTCACATATAGAGCACACACGTCAAGATGTGAAGTTAAAGAATGAAATTCAACATGCCCTAATGGGGTTATACATGATAAAAAAAAAATACATGAAATGGGGTTGTGAGTGCTTTACGGTTTGAACTTTGAAGGAGCGAAAGCACTGCCAAATTGGATGGCACAAGAGAAACGGCTCATAAAAAAAGCAAACAGAAAAATGTTAAACTGGACTTGTCACGTGAAACTGGACTTGGGGAAAAAAAAAAAAAAAAACGTTAACTAGACATATTTGTTAAACTTTTTTTTTTATTTTGTTATTTATTTTTATTTTTTGGTTCGTAACGTAAGTCTGGCACAAACAGTTGTTAAAAATGTATCAACTCAGTAGTGATGAGGTGGCATATTTGGGTGCACCGTTATATGGTACTACGGCCACCTACCCATAATTATAATAAAATAATCATTTAATTGATGGCTCTTCATGCAACTTTAAGCTGCTTATACGGGTCATTTTTTCCCTCTATATATAGGCCAGAGCCTTGGCGTTTTAAGTTCGTGGCATGGCTAGGAATAGAAAAGGCTAGTACAATTCTCTTAAACCTTGCTCTTCTCAGTTTTCAATTTTGTTTTTGAGAGAGAGAGACAGAGAAAGAGAGCGAGAGCAATACCCAGGTAATCTAGAAGACATGGCCGCCTTTGCAACTGACAATCTTGGGGTTTTCATCTTTGGCCTCCTAGGTAAACATAATTACAAATATAACTACAGTTGGTATCATATATATATATATATATATATGTATACACATATATGTGTGTGTGTATCATTTGTAGTTAGTTCATCTATATACATATATGTAGTATATGGATTAATTCCATAACATCAACTTTACATTCTCATTACATTAATATTATATATCACCATATGTATTACAAATATATGTTCATTTAGTATTTATTAATGTTATGTAACAATAGTACTAGCTTGCACCAAGCTAACCATCTTCTGCGTCGTCAATTTTCTTGTTATTTTCAGGAAACGTCACTTCCTTGATCGTTTTTCTGGCCCCAGTGTAAGTTTTCTCTTTATATGATTATATTAGACGTGTGTGTGTGTGTGTGTGTGTATATATATATCCTTATTACTATGTAATATTAATCAGAATTTGTCAACTTATATAATTATTATTTGCAGACCAACATTTTACCGAGTGTATAAGAAGAAATCAACAGAAGGGTTCCAATCGGTTCCATATGTGGTTGCACTATTCAGCGCCATGATGTGGCTCTATTATGCAACCCTCAAGTCTGATTTAATCCTCCTTATCACCATTAACTCGGTTGGCTGTGTCATTGAGACCATCTACATTGCCCTGTACATTGCTTATGCAACAAAACAAGCAAGGGTACACATATATATATATATATATACAAAAATTTTTATTTATTTAATGGATATATAATATTTATACTATATATAACGCATGTGTATGTTATGTGTGTATATATATATACATATATATATTACGTAAATGACGAGAGATAATAACTGGTAGCAAGACAACTAGTATATTCTAGCTTGATTGACACCCGCTAGTTGGTCTATCCCGTAATTTTATTAAAAATTACATTATATCTATATCTATATATTTATATGTTTGTTTATATATCCTACATGTATAACAATATTAATTCTTGTACTGCAGATTTTCACTTTGAGGTTGATTCTTCTGTTGAACTTTGGAGGGTTTTGTTTGATTCTTTTGCTCTCCCACTTCTTAGCAAAAGGATCACTCAGAGCCACAGTTCTCGGATGGGTCTGTACAAGTTTTGCTGTCAGCGTCTTTGCAGCACCTTTAAGCATAATAGTAAGGATTCTATCACTTTCAAATATAACACTTTTTTTTTTCTTTTATATCATTTTCTTCATTAGTTTTTTTTTTTCTTTTTCTTTTTGGTTAATTTTTATTTATAGTAATTATGTCATGATTTTTCAGAGAGTGGTTATTCGCACAAAGAGCGTGGAGTTTATGCCACTTCCTCTTTCCTTCTTTCTCACACTAAGCGCCACTATGTGGCTAATGTATGGCCTAATGCTGAAGGATTTGTGCGTGGCGGTAAGTATTTAAGATCTCCTGTCTCGTATAAAATATATATATGTAATTAAAAATTATTTGTTAGTGAAAATATATCTTTTTTGTGGGGGTGATCACGCTAATCTAATACCTCCAAAATTAGTTGCCAAAATGAAGCGGTTAAAATACCCTTTTCATTATCTTTTGTAAAAGGACGTGATCTTAATATCAAAAAAGAAAAAGAACGAAAAAAAATCAGGGAGACAAACCTTTTATCTTTCAATGGTGCAATAACTTTAATTATCTTTCTTTTGCTATATGTATATATCGCAGCAAAGTGTGCCCATAATATGATAACGCTACTCCCACTACTTAGTGCATTTCGTCACACAAAAAACATGCATGCATGTCGTTTATTGATGGCCCATGATTAAAATATATAAAGTGCACCTTTATCAATTAGAACCAGATATCTACAACATATTTGTATTATAATATTATTTATTTTCTCTCTCTCTCTCTCTTCCTGCTAATTAAGCACATACTAAGCATATGTCAAACTATGGAATGTAAATATATGTCTTTGTGTATCTATATCTATGTATATGAATATTAATATTTAGAGAGGAAAAAAAAAAAGAAAAAACGAAATTATATACCATTTAGCGTACGCGGAGTAACTCTTTTATATATACATAGTGCTACTTCAATTATTTGACCAGATCACCGCTAGGTATTTGCAATCAATAATTTCTGGCTGGTGTGTTATAGTATATATATGCTGCTTGAAATTAAATATTTTAAAATATTAATATATGGTTATATATATCTATATGTAGTTCATAAAATAACTCAACAATATCTCCACTCCTTATAATTACTAAAGTGAATATGTATATTGTTCACGACATGAAGTGACCTATATGGAGCAGCTTTGATAGAAAGCTCTTGCTTTAAAAAAAAAAACTTATTCTTTTTGGATGAAATACGACCTTTGATAGTGTTTTGAGATTTTATCTTACATATATATAGGTTTTATCTACGGTCTCTCACTATAACATGTGAAAGTAAAAACGTAATATTATAGTTATTTAACGTAATATGAATACTAAAAAGACGTAGCATCAATAATTTTGACTAGCTCATACTATTGTTATACTTTAATTTGATTATTTACCACAATAAGAATGTTAGAAAGGTCTGATAATAGTTAGAGATAATTAAATATCTTGATATCTTATATTTTTAACGTCGGTGTTATCTTAAATAAATAACATGTTATGTTTTACAATTCTATACATTACGCTGAAGGCACGGTTCCGTCGAAGGGATCGAAAAAAATCTCTATATATGTTTGTTATTATTTGATGAGAAAATTATAATATATATATATATATATGTATATTTTTTTGCAGATTCCAAACGTCATGGGCCTGATCTTTGGGGTACTTCAAATGGTACTGTATGTAATCTATAGGAAAAACAAGACAGTGCTTGTTGAGGAACAAAAGGTACAAGAACAAATCAAAGCCGATATTGAGAAGGCTGAGACAATCATAATGGCCGAGGTACAAGTAATAAGCACAGAATCCAATAACAACAACGAAAGCAAGGAAAAGGAAAAGATTAATCACGAGAATTTCATTAACAACAGCAGCAATCAATTTGCGCACGCCCAAACACACCACTGTGTTTTCAACAGGGAAGCCCCACTTACCCCGTGCCAAGCAATCAAATGTGAAGCTTAATTTTGGGCCTCACTTGGAGTATTCCTAATGCCCCGTTCGGCCTTTGCTTATCTTATGCCCTCTCTTCTCTCTCTTAATTTGCATAAGAATCATATATATGTAACTCTCTCTCTCTCCCCCTCACTATATATCACCATGTGATATATTTGTTGAAAACATGTACGTAGAGGACGACGGTGTACATACGGTCTTCTTTATTAAGTTAAATTGGTGCACCTAATTGATCAACTTTTTGTGTCCGACACCGTGGTACGGCAATTATGCTTTTTCAACGGTGGAGGGCAAAAAAGTGGTCAATGACTGTACTATATATTAATGTTACTAAATTACTTTAATGAATAAAATATCTATATTTGTGTGTTTGTAAATTTGTGTTATATTTAATATTATTATTCAAGCATGATATTGAACTCCAGCTGCAAGGTCTAAGCTATGTACTCTTTTTCTCGTCCCTATATTAGTATTTGATGTCTCCCACCAAGCGATGTCTCTTCTATAGCTATAATACATATATATTGTATCATTTTCTACCTATATAGAGTAGCAACTCTAGTATTTATTTAAATTCCAGCCTTATACTTTTTTAGATAAAAATAATATTACTTTTCAAATTAAGCAAGAAATTTATTATAACTTATATACATTAATTAATCTTATAACCAGGTTTTTTCCAGGGTTTTTGTGTAACAAGGATTTGAATGGAGTCTATTATAAGGATTGATTCTTGAAGGTGTAGCTTTAGCTACCTTTTGACACCAATCCCTTTTATTTTTGTCCATTGTTCCATTTGTTTCCCTGTTTTGCCCTTCGGGGTTGTAATTCTTTCTAACATTTCATTTAGTTTTTCTTGATTTAATAATATTGAGTGGGGGCTTTCTTGTGAGTGCCAACCTAATAAGGATGTAGTTTCCTTTAGTTTTAGTTACTTTCTCGTTTCATTTATATGTGTGTATAGATATATATATATATATTTACTCATATTAGTTCTCGCTCTTTCCATTCAATATATATATACGTACACATATACATACATATGTGTGTATGTATCCGTTTGCTTACCGACTTTTTTAAAATAAAAATATGTTCTGAAGTGAGGAAATAGAAAAACCAATATTAATGGACATGACCTTAGAACTGCATAAAACCACGACCGGGTGGACAATCTATTCCACTAGTTAACTTTTTTTTTTTTTTTTATGAGATTAGGTTTAATTACCAAATAAGCAAATTCTGACTATATATTGTCGGAATATATCTAGCTATTATATATCAATAGCAAATTCAAATGACTAGCTATGAATAGTTGGTAAAAGAAAGTTCGATAAACAGATTTAGTACCTTATATGTATTGCAATCCATAGAGATACTTTATATAAGTCTCCCGATTGAATATCTATCACTAAGAAACGAACCTGAGCATTCTTCGTGTGTGATTGGTATTAAGAGTTAATTACGTGCCGTGATGCTATAATAATATATAAATGTATGTGTGTGTGTGTGTGTGTGTGTGTATGTATATATATATATATATATATATATATATATAAGAATATTGTTTATCTAATTAGCGTAAATATTCTTTTGTTCCCCCATATTTTTCTCAGAAGAAAAAGTGTTCTTCCACACATTTCATTAAAATAAGTAATACTGGTTGGCTTACGTAAGTGAAAACAACAATCAACGACAGGTAAAATCACAGAATATATTAAACAATAATACTCACGAAAAAAAGTAACCATATTATTTTAAGACTGCTCTAGCAATATTAATAATATTTTGGATTTACACGGAGCACAAAACCAATTGTTTTTTAACTTAAATAAATCGATCATTTTCACTTCCTTGAATCAACAGAGGACAACTAGTTCCAATTTAAAAATTGTATTTAAATTGTTGTTTATTACTTCGGATCCAGAATATGATTTAGTTAGGATCTTTTTCTTGGTTTTAGTAGTGCTCTTCATATATGCTTGCCCCACTCCTATGTTTATGGAATATTGTTTCAAGAACATCTCTTTTTCTTTGTTTGACCTCATTGGACCGTTTCGAAAATTCAAATCACAGGATTCTTTTTTTTTTTTTTGCGTTTTATTAATTAAGGATAAAATCATTTTAGTACCCTCTATTATAGAGAAACATCTTGCTGGTACCATGTATTTTTAATAATATTAAAATGGTATCTTCACATTTAAAAAAAAAAAAATTGGTACCCTGAGACGGACATACATGTATAAACTGTCATTTTCATTAATTAAATAGAAACTAATAACTCTGAAAATATTTGGTGAAAACATTTTAATTTATTTTAATTGTTTAATTTCTAAATGTTTTAAAGTATTTTTAATTTTTTTTCTAAAACTACTAGTTTATTATTAATTAGTGAAAATGGTAGAATGGACATTTTATATCTCAAAGACCGGTTCAAGGTAATAAAATAACATTTCTTTAAAGGTGAATGTATCGCTTTATTATTATTAAAAACACAAGTAAGATGTTTCGCTATGACAGAAGGTACTAAAATTATTTTATCCCTTATTATTATTAGTAAAAATATGCATGAGCAACTTTAATTTAACCACTAAGAATGAATGACGTTTAAGAACGATCTCACAACAATTTAAACAACTCGAATTGGATGATCATGATAACTTTTTTTTCATCATTCAAAGACTGAAAATGAAGATATTATAGTTAGTAATTTAAAACATCACATTTCTTGTCCTCCATCCATCGATCACTTTAACACATACATGATTACTTTTTTTTTTTTTTTTTTTGTCTTTTTTTGAAAGTGGACATGCACATATATATGACTTTTTTTTTTATATGGTCATAGCAAACATCCCGGGCTTGAAAGAGAGAATAAGAGGTAAAAGTTATTCCTTCCTTTTGATCTTTATTACATTTCTTGTATAAATTACTCATTGACAAAGAATCTCATATGTTATAATTTATTACGCTATATTCATAGGTAGATGACAAATAATGTTATAGAATACTAAAAGTTCCTCTTTTCCGCAGGGAAAAAAAAAAAAAAAAAACCCCTAGCAGATCCAGACCAAAGAAACTCAGAATTTCGTATAATGCTTGGAATATTTATTAATATTCATGAGATATTTTGTTCATATTATTAGTTGATGTGATATTTTATTTGAATATTCGACCCACTTACCTAGACTATTTTAATATGGTATATACGTACTATATATACACTGGTCCTCACTACACCACTTTGAATTCGGCTTAATCTTTACGGAAAATCTTTTCTTAAAAAAAGTGACATATTTTAGTAGTAAATCTCCTTAGTGTACTCCAAGTTAATTCAGTTTTGTGTTCTTTGGTTAAACCCTTAGTAGAAGAAAAAGAAAAAGAAAACTGACTGATATTATCGAGTTTAAACACATTGAACGTTTTGAGTTTTGACTCTATACACCGTGAAGGAAAAAAAAAAACCAACTATATTAAGGATATGAAGATATAAAGCACACAAGATACGACTTTTTATTTTTCTCTAGATCGAGCAATTTATTAGCCACACCAGAATAACTTTCTATTGTTTGCTTTAAACTCCTCCCAAAAACGGAACAATGTTTTGGATAAAGGAATTTTAGTTCTTAGCGATATAACTTTCCTCTAATAGTAACAGAAGACAAGTTGCAAGTAGACTGTCGCATATATAATATCTAAGTGGGTTGGTTATATTTGTGTTCTGTCAACTAAAAACAATGGGTTTCATCAGTACCATCTAACCAGTCATGCAAGTTGTCTTCACATTATTATTATTGTTAATAAGCTCACTAAAATAACTTTCCTCTTAGGGCAACAATATATCTAACAATTGCATATTCTAAGTGGATTGGTTAGAGACTTGTGTATTTTCTCACTTAACCAGTTTGAGTCTCTTCTTGATAGTCCATTTATATAGTTAATTGTGGAAATTGGACTTCTAAGAATATGAGCTTCCATCTTCAACTTGACGATTGCCGTCCCTTCACTATGCTTTTCTTCGCGTCTTGCACCCGTCTTTGCGCCTTTGCGTCTTTAATAAGCTCATTTTTGCGCTTCTTTTCCCTCCTCGACAATTGTCATACTCAGTGGCGGATTTAAGTACAGCTCAGTGGAGGCGGTTTTTTTGAAAATAATATTACCTTTAAAAATTTTAAAATTTTACACTTAAGCCATCACTGAAATAATATATGTCCCCATTAAGATAAATATATTTTCTTATATGTCCCCACTAAGATAATTTGTTATAAAAAATTTAGTGTACGCTCCCACTGAAGTGAAAGATTGACTTTGTCACTGGTCATACTTACGCCTCTTTTTCCTCCTTGACGATTGTCGTTCACGTGCCCTCCTTCGATGATTATCATCCATGTGCTCCTATGCCCTCCATCAAAAATTGTTGTCCCTGAGCCCTTAAGCCCTTGAGGATTGTTTTTTTTATTTTTTTATTTTATTTTTATGCAATCGTCACCTTTGTCTTCATTTTCTTAGAAGATCAAAAAAAAAAAAACAATTCTTTCAAACGATTATTGGAATCTCTTATCAAAACTCCATCTTGTGAGGTCATATTAAGAAAAGTTAATATATCATATATTGTTATTTTTATAAGTATTTTGACTTTATTCGTATTTAGTTCAAAGTTCACATTAAGAAATCTTTAGACTTAATAGTTTAGGTAAATTACTCAATTATGGGATTTTAACTTGTACTTTTAACTTTCAGTTAACCAACGTCCTATTTTCTAAAGTAAGTACTTAGAAGTTGTTTTGTATTTGAATATATGTCAGCCTCAGTTAATATAACTTTGTTTACTAATTTTGTCCCAAAAAAAAAAAGAAAAAAGAAAAACCATAGAGGAGAGAGTGTGCACGTGACTGGCACGTGAGGGCGTAATATACCAAAACATGGAGTACACAGGATTTTGTAATACAGCAGGATGCATGTAGAGGGATTTATTTCGGCATGGCGGCGACGGTCAACTGCAAAAGTATAATTTCTCAAACGGGCAAAATAGAATATGCTCCATCATCATGGCTGAGATCGGATTTCCACCGTTGGATTGCTTGCTTTATGCCAAATAAGCCAAAGAAGTTGAGGTTAGCCAACAATATTGATCGAGTGCGATTACACATCGAAAAGCTCTCTACTGCCCTTAGTGGGATAAGAGGCAAACAAGAAAAGAAAAATTTTAAAATTAACCCGTCTGGATTTGGAATCCTTCAGAAACTGATCAGCAAGTGGTCTTCATGAATTACACGTATCTAGTGTTTTCCAGTGCATGATTACATCTTTATGGTAAAAACATGATAATAATACTGTTCTTCTTCTTCTTTTTTTTGTACGGAAAAAGAGAAGGTGAAACTACATATAATACATCAAGTGTCAAAAAAGTCACCACTCGCCGATACCAAACAGAACTGAATTAACAACTTTATGGCCACTCAAAAATTCTATGCATAGTTGGTGTCTAAATTTTAGTGTGAATAGAAGGATGAGAAATGCTAGCATCATTCTCTTTCTCACTCTATTTCTCACTCTCTACATTCACTGTTAAACACTCTCATTTTTTATTTAAACAAAAATATATCATGGTAATAGATTTCACGTGTCAAACAATAAATGTAAAAAGTGACAAAGAAAGTTACATAAATAATGATGCTAACATTTCTCATAGTAGGAATTTTCTCAAACATTAACGACTAACTATACTCTAAACGTTAAATTTGTTTAATCATATCAATGTCTTATATTCAAATCCCACAACTTATATCAACATAAATAAATGTTGATCTAGAATTGCTTAATAAATTTAGTATACTAAGCTTTTTGAATATCAGTTACCTTCTTAGCTCCACTTACATAAAAAATTATCATCATGAAACATCATAAAACTAATTAGTGTGTGATAGGAGTTTCAAGGAGTGCCAACATAATTGGGATGTCTTGTTTCACCTTGATGCTAGTGCCTCTTCTCATTATTTATTTAAAAAAAAAAAAATGCATGCATCATAAAACTGAAACATAATTTACTAAGGTTGAAAAGCTACAATACAATAATTTAATTTTACGAAATTCCCAAATTTTTAACACACGTGCATTTATGATGTTAGAATGTACCATTCTCATTCGCAATTACAAAAGTTGTGATGCATGTATCCTAATTTACACACAAAAATCAAAGTTTCTAATACTTAGTGGGTCTATAATTTGATTGGTTCATTAAACTAAAATGTAACTAAATTCATTGGTCATGAAGTATTGTATATAAATTTGATTGAAGAACAAGAGTCAACATCATTTTTTTTTTGGCGATTGAAGAAGTAGAGGAGTCATCACAACCTACCCTTGGAAAGAGGAAAGGAAACCCCGTGGAACTGAAACATGAGTTGTAAACCCTTAAGCCCACTTGGTGGGTGCCACATCAGAAAGAAACTCAAGTGGGACCAACCCCTAAAAAAGAATTTCGTGATTGTACTAGGAATGGTAATCACAAGTAGGACTTAACTGGCTAGCGGGTGAATTATAGAAAAAAAAGACCAAATAAGGGTAGATATAGGGGTAATAGGGGGCTAATTACAAAGCATAAAACAACTGGAAAGGAGTTGGAAAATGAGTTAACTCATGCTTTACGCATTATTTTATTGCAAGTTGGACAAGTCCTGTGCCTTCTCAGCCCTATATAAGCAGCCTCATTCTTTGCTAATGACCTCACTGAGTTTAAGTTAATTAAGAGGTGATATTAGAAGTCCATTTGGGTTTTACACTTTGGTTATATAACAACTCTTTTAAAGCAAGAGTACTAGTCGCTTGGTTTTTGAGTTTCCAATTACTAAAGAAATCCACGACAGAAGATATGGCCTCTCACCACTACTTGACTCTTGCTTTTGGCCTCTTAGGTACAATGTCGTTTCTTCTTTATCTTCTTCTTCTTCTTCTTCTTCATCTTCTATTTCAAAATATATCTTTTTAATGTCCTGCTATTTGCTAAAAGAAAATCACATATTTTCCATTTGGCTCTGCCTATAAAAGTTTAGTATAAGATAATGCATATAATATGTACCGATATTCGATCTTCCAAAAACTTTAGCAGGTGCATGTATTATTTACGTGGTGCAATTCCATAATATTGCATGCTACAACATATTTTCTGATTATACATTTCTAACATACTTTTTTTTTTATTTTAATCTTTTTGATCCTGTAGGCAACATTGTATCCTTCATGGTGTTCCTTGCTCCAATGTAAGCCTATAGTTTATCTTGGCTTAGTTTGCAATATTCCTATTTGAGCCAAGCAAAAGTTTATTATCATAGGCTTATTATTCATATCATCTCATCATATATTCTTATTTTTATTTCGCTTTATATGTATTTCAGACCAACATTTCACAAAATCTACAAGAAGAAATCTGCCGAAGGGTTTCAGTCACTTCCCTACGTAATTGCACTCCTCAGTTCAATGCTGTGGATATACTACGCCTTGCTTAAGAAAGATGCCCTTCTTCTCATCACCATTAACTCAGTCGGTTGCGTTATAGAGACCGTTTACATTGCCTTGTTCCTCTTTTACGCTCCCAAGAAGACTAGGGTATACTAATTAACTCATTAAACTTTGTATTATTATTATTATCATTAAATTAATCTCTCTCATTCATTGCTTATTATTATATGGATTAATACTAATTATATATTAATTTAAAAGATGGTTTTTCAAAAATTTCAGATCGAGACGGTGAAGCTTCTCCTCATGTTAAATGTTGTCGGCTATGGTTTGATGCTTGTCTTGACCATCTTCCTAGCAGAGGGTGAAAAACGCTTGCAGGCCGTTGGATGGATCTGCCTCGCATTTAATCTTAGTGTTTTTGCTGCACCACTTTGCATCATGGTAATAATAATAACAATAACAATACTAATAATAATAATAATAATAAATTAATGAAAACCCTCTATAAATTAAGGTCTAGTAATTAGAAAACAGTACGCTTCATTAAATTTTCCTGTCTCTTTCTTTCTTATTCTTAGTTTTGTGTTTTTTTTTTTAGTATTTAACATAATTAATTTTATCATGTGCAGAGACAAGTGATCAGAACCAAGAGCGTGGAGTTCATGCCATTTCCTTTGTCATTCTTCCTCACATTAGGTGCAGTCATGTGGTTCTTCTATGGTCTTCTTCTCAAGGACTACAATATAGCTGTAAGTGTAATATATCATAATATATATTATTTATATAGCTTGCGTGGAACAATATTTTATGTGTTTCTGTACCTTTTTCCCTTCTTTTTAGCTCTTTTTTTTTTATTTACACTTTTTGTTTCTTTGGATCGACAGTTTCCGAACGTACTCGGGTTCTTTTTTGGCATCGCTCAGATGGCGCTTTACATTGTGTACAAGAACGCAAAGAAAACTATTCTTCTAGAGCCAAAGCTTCAAGAACTATCTGAACATGTCATTGATGTTGTGAAGATTAGTGCACTTGTGTGCCCAACTGAACTTAACCCAGTTTTCATTCAGACAAACGACACCGGAAGTACCGGAAACGACAAGATTACTGATCATGAGAATGAAAACCATCAAGTGAAGGCAAAGATAGAGGAAACCAAGGAAGCAAATAAAAATAAGGATGGCTCAGCTGATCGAGTCTGACCCGGTTGATGGAAGGGATTATCTCTAGCTTTATTAATTTTATGATGTAATTTTCATGTATTTAATTTGCTAACGTGCCCCTGCTTAATTTAAGTAGGTCCAAAAATCCCTTCTTAATTAGTTTTTCATGATGATTTCTAAGGTCTTGGTTTGCATGTATAACTCTCTCTCAAGGGCTCATGCCACTTGTACCTCTTCTTAATTAATGTAATTACATGCTACCGTTAATTTCTTCTAAAGCCATTCTAATAACTATGACAGATTCTTCAGAATTATATTTAATTTCGGATATATATACAAATTAGTTGCGTGTATATAATAATATACTAAATAGTATATTATACTACCTACGAACCAAACTAAGGAATGCTAAATAATATATATGTAGCTTTAAGTATGATTTGGTCGTCAATATTTATCAAACTAATTGTATCTTAACATGGACATATTTTCCTTAAAAAATAAAAAAACATAAAAAAAAAAACTAGAGACATCATCATAATTGTCATTAAGATAATAGAAGACGCAGAAACCATCGAAAAAAATAGTTGATGTCTAAAATGTCACTCAAAGTAGACACTAGACGAGAGTTTTCTGAAAATTCTCATCTAGGACGATGTATGGATTTTAGAATACGGAATAACTCTCACTTTTTTCTCCCACATTAGACGACGATTTTACGATAAATAATCATTAAGTAGGCCACGTTCTACTCCCAATATTGTCGTAGAGAGTTACTAATTAATTAATTATTAGCCGACCAATATTGTAGGAGAGAGTTACTAATTAATTATTAGCCGACCTTTTATACGTGTCTCTCGCAAAAAGTGTAATCTTTTCCATTTTATCACGAAGTAACTTGAGCAAGATCAAAACTAAGAAAACCCAGGCAAGAAGAAAAAAAATCCAAAACATGATTATAACATGACAAATGTTTTTTAGGGTAAAAACGTGAATTAATTAAGAGACAAGAACTAGCGAGCTATAGCTAGCACACAAATTAACGAAATAAATGGCTAACATATTCACTGAATAATAGTGATTAATTCCAAATGTGCATACTAAAATGATATCATTTTTTAGGTGAATCGTACTTTATATATATATATATATATGTATATTTATAGTAAAGTGTGTGTGTGTGTTCTTTTCCCCTTCTTTTGTCTGATCACCAGTATTATAAACCAAACATAAGGTGGGTTTGGTATTAATTTTGGGGAGGAAAAACACTTATTGAGACAGCAAAAGCTTTAAAAGCAGTTTAGTAAAAACTAAAATAGTAGATTTTTGAATAATTTACTCTCACTCTGAAACTAAAAGCAGAATCACATTTTTTAGATCTGTTCTCTCTTCTCCTTCTCTTTCCGTTCTCTCTTCTCCTCTTTGTTCTCTCTCTTCGCTGGCTCGGTTCGAAGTGCTCTTCTCTGGCTTTGTTCGCCGGTCTCTCTCTCTGTTTGCCTGTCTGTGCTCGTTTGGTTTCTCCTCCGTGCGATTGTCGGTTTGCCGGTCTCCCATCTCCTTCTCCGACTGCCCGTTCTCTACCTCATTAAATCAAGAGGTAGGCCTTTGTAAGTACTCAATTTTTAGTTTGAACATCTGGATTTCATACCACGTTTATTTTGGTCATTTTAACTACCCACAGCAATTCAACCTCATAATTTAGCAAACGCTACTACACTGATTTTAGAACTAGCACAGCTAGAATAATTATAGTTTACCAAACACTCAACTGCTTTTTATAACAGCTGCTTTTTGTAACAGCTGTTTTTTGTAACAGATGCTTTTTGTAACAGCTAATTTTTATAACATCTACTTTTTGTAACAATTGTTTTTTCCTTCAACATAACTAAAAATAATTTTTTCAAAATTCACCGCACTACCAAACTAACCCATAGTCTTACTTGGAAGAGACACAAGAAAAGTGTCGGGTATGAGCTGCTTAGCAACAAAAGGCATAAAATATATATACTTCTTTTGATATTATTTTTATGTTCAAACGAATCCGGTTGTGATACTTGCTAATCTCCGGTTAGCTGTTTTAGAAGTGCCCTTTTTTTAACTGCTGATCTTTTGTCCATAATTGTCTCAGGTGCAGACCCTCAGTGATATATCAAAAGCTTTCTGTGAATCCAAATAAGTGGCAGAATCTCATATTCTCTGTAATATTTATGGCTGCTTACTAGTTGCTAGTCTCAAGTGGACGAGAAAAGTAACAAATTGTATATTATTAGTACCATCGCAATTTCAAATGGTCCCACTACATTTCACTGTTTTTCCCCCAGAAAGCGCAATGTAAATATATATATATATATATATATATTTCAGTATTAAAAAAATATATTTTCTGATAGAGTATACGAAAATATCTTACAAATAGGGTTCTGTTTTGAACCATCACAAATATATGTATCAAGTTATTTTGTCATATTTTAATCTGATGATATTTTGAATAAATCTAACATTTAAAAAGATACACTAAAACTCCCTAAATTATATATGTGTATTGATTCCTTTTTGCTTTTTACAACCATGTTAAGTGATATCCGTACTATTTTGGTGGAAATAATCACTCCATGGGTTACGTGACCCAACCACAAAATTATCACATAGATCTGTGTTTGCTAGCATAATTTGAACTGCCACATAATCAACATAAAAAAAAATATAAGTTTGACCAAATGTATGTCTCAAATCACGAATAATAATTGAATTAGCATTGTTCGGCGGGTAATGAATAATCATGACGTGTCTTCTCTAAAAATAATAATTTAAAGCTTTGTTATGCATCTAGGTATGCGGTGAGGTACATTTTGCTGACTAATAATAAAATCTAATTAATTAATTGTCCCGGATCTTGGAGTAATAACCATCTCTTAGAAAGAATTAACATTAAAAGATGATAAGCCATAAACTATGCCATATAACTTTTATACGTACAATATTTAGCTTTTGTTGCACCTCCAACAAAGTGTCGCTACACAGTCCAAGAAATTTTGGCCACATTTGCTATCACAATTAAAGCCAAAAGATATATACAAGTTTTATATATAAGGAAGAAATAACATATTAAGTGGAAAAACCAATAGAAGACTTCTACAATGGGATTTGAAAAGTTATACTATTTAGGGTTCTATTTTTCAGTTTTTATTAGATTGTGTCGGATATTATTTATTCTTTATATATTTTTTTATTGTGATTTTGATCAGATTAAACCTTCGAAAAATATACACTATTAATATGTGATCCTACTATATATATATATATATATATTTTGTCTTAAGTTCAGTAACGTATAATATGGCAAGTATAATATTTTTGTTAGAACTTGTAACTTTTTGATGTAACATGCATGATAATACTGAAACAAGCATAATGTAACATGGTTCACCATGACTATATTTTATAACATTTAAACAAAATAAGTGTTACATAAATGTCGAAACAATGATGTTACACTAACGAATAGAAAATGTTACAGTTGCCGGACTAGTAGACTGAAGACATTTATACATATAAATATATATATAAGTTAATATAATGATCTTCCAATATCATCGATTGTATATCAACTTAGCAATATTTAATCCCTAGCGTCGGACTTCCACTGTTAAAATATCTTTACAGTTCAAAACTTTCAACCACAAAACAAAGTTTTCGTACCAAAAAAATGAGTTTTAATTAGATATCAACAATATTTTTTTTCCCCTCAGTGATCATCACATTGCTTCCACAAAACCATAACTAACCAGCTTTATGTAAATAAGCATGACACAAAACGTTATCATCTTCTGTATAAATTCATTATTAATCTCTCAACTTTTTAACTTATAAGTTATAGTTAATAATCGCGTTGGATTTCCACTGTGCGTCAGAAGATCACCTCTTCATCATCATCATCATCATTATCATCATGGGTCGGTTCAATATATGTTAAATTAATTAATTAAATTTTGATCTCGCTTTGGGATTAATGTAGTTAAAGTTTTAATTTTTTTTTTCTCAAGTAAATAAGTTAATTAGATTAACTTGAGGGGGGGGAAATATCCGTGCAAAATAGGGTTCAAGAACTTTCCGCCACATTGACTCCACAAACCGAAAAAAGAATATTTGTTTTAAGATACGTACGACATGACCATCATGTATTGTCGACCTTTTCTTCATGTTGAAATTGTCTGCGTGGGAACCCTCTTGATCAAGAACTAATCAAAACCCTACAAACGCATATAAGATAAGCAATATATATTTATATATATAATGCATATATACATATATAATGATATCATTATATATACATATATATTACGTATGTATAAAATATTATATATATATATACACTTTGGTGGCTACGTTCCCCAATGGCCATCCATTCGTTAGGAGACAAGGGTATTCCGTGGCAGTTTTTGGACTTGAAATATTTTTTGTGGTTTTTCCCTTTTGAAACTTTGTGCATATTTTGGTGGATCTGATTAGTACTCGAGTCTTCTTCTTCCTTTTTCTTTTTTTTTTTTTATTTATCAACCAAAGATTACCTGTTCTAAAAATGTGGGGAAATATTTTTTTTCTTTTTTTTTTTTGATCGCCGATAACGTTTCTCGGGTTTGAAACAAGTGTACGTCAGTTAGGTGTGGAAAGTTAATAACGAATTTTAGTGTTAAGTTATCTCGGTAACTTTAACTAATTAATGTTTGCTTGCTATTGAGCTCTATTCTATGGTATTGAAGTAAGAGACCAAGTAAGACTCACGTGTTGGACATAAAAAGTCTCGAGACTAAAGTGAAACTTAGTAATATAACCTTCTAATAACACTAGCAAAATGACCATGACAAGTGAATTGTTAACTTAAAATAAATCTATCTATACGCAAAGAGTTGTATTAGTCATATTAATTATGTTAATTTAATATGATGTTAAGAACAGGTTCAACAAGTCGATGAAAGTATTTTAACTGATATGAAATTTTAATATATAGATGTAATATGATAATTAATTTATATCACATGATATTATTGGAGGGAGGGACAAAAAGAAGTTGACATAGAAGTTGAATCCAACAAGAATTAGGAGAAACATTGAGATATATGACATTGCTTAACGTTAAAACGTTACTTGATCCACTAATTATGGTTCGCTTCAAAGAGAAGTACATGGTGTGCCATGATTTTGTACAGACCCATCATTTATGTCATTCTGAATAATTGAGTGTCATTATAACTTTTTATTTTCTATTTTTTTAATTAAATGATAATTATTTATTTTTTAGTGGATGCCATAAATAATATTTTTTTACCATATGGAATGATATTTTTGATTTCTTTTTCCATTCTTTTATTGTTTTATAATAGTAGTGGATGGAACTATATATCTATCAAATAATATCACTAATTATTATGTAACCCTATAACAGTTAAGTAACTTTTTTCTTTTTATAGGATTTGAGATTCGAATCTTAACATTAGAGGTTAATATGGCTACGTACTTTCATATTGTAGTTTGTAGCCACAAATCATGCGAGCGTAAAGTGTTAATAATGCAATTTGATTAGAAAAGATCACAATGATAAAGGGCCTAGGATTTGTTTCTTTTGTGTTCAAATGTAAGCCACTAAGGTAGGTCTTTTTTTAGGTTAACATATGCCTAAACCTAAGCTTCTTCAGTAGAGCCCACAAGCTTTGCCTTGTGCCATAAATTACCTTTCTTTCTAAGCATGAAAATGATGTAATCGCCCACTACTAATATTCCCTCAAAGATTGATGCCAGTTTTCTCAATTATTTAAAACAAAAGAAGCCCAAAATATATAATATATACATACATATATATAAGAGTTATGACTCACTGTCATTTTCTACTGCTTTTGCTTAATAAATATGGTTCAATCTTGCACATGAAGTATAATAAATATGGTTCAATCTTGCACATGAAGTACTACTTAATTGAGAGTTACAGACAAACTGTTATGGGTAATGCTTTGTGCTATTCCATGTGGAAGGAGCAATATTTGAAGCCCCTTGGTTTAGTACTGGTGAATGAACCTTTCAGGGTCAAACAAAATTCAGGAGTCAGATCCTCCTAGGCAGTATATTTCAATATGTTCTACAGTACAAGAATATTGTTACCACTTGCATTTTTATATATGTACATAATTCCATTTCAGTATATATGGGCCCGTTTAGTTTACTGATTCGAATTTTTAATTCGACTTGAGATGTGACTTTATGGGAGAGATTTTTACTGTAGCAAAAAAGTTAGATGTGACTGTTTCTAAGAGCTTTTTACTGTAGCAAAACTCGAACTGGTAAAATGAACGTGACCTATATACCAATGAGAATTCCTGTAATTCTTTTTCAATTTTAATTTACATAACATACCATTTATCATTCTTTTTATTGATAGGTAACACTTTTAAATATTAGAATTTTTTGTTTATTTTTAGAAATTCTCCAAACTCATTTTGTTCGAGCTTGAAACTGGAGCCTTCTGCCAAACGCTGCAATCGTTAAAAAGCAAGAAACTATGGACGCGTTTGAAACTCGTTTCAAAAGGATTTTATTTTTTGTATGAAAATGAAAATGAAAACGTTTTTAATCTCAGACATAAATCATTTTTAAAAATGCGTTAGGTAGTTTTATCAAGAAATTATTTTCAGTATAAAAAAACCATTAATCTCTCTCTCTCTCTCTCTGCTCGAGAGAGGAGAAAACGAAAAAAAAGATGAAAAACGACTAAAAGTCATTTTTCATTTCTCTTTTATTTTATACTAAACCAAAAAATCATTTTCATTTCCCTTTTTTTGTCTTTATTGCACCAAATGCCGTTTTAAAAATGTTTTTATTTTTTTCTCAAAAAACATAAAAAATAAAAACGGGATCAATTCCAAACACGGCCTTAATTCTCATCATATTTGTTCTCATAAAGTGGTTCAAACCCCAGATCTTGTGAGAGCAAATGAAAAATCTGATCATTCCAACAACTTTTAAGTATTAGTTGATGTTGGCAATTAGGTGTCGTGAGTTTAGTGTGAGTAGTTGAAGTGCAACTTGTGTGGTTGTTATTTTTCTTAGTTTGCATTAAAGAAGTGAAGAAATATAAGGCTAATAACCTTGAGTGGTTCGGTGAGTTGTAAGTGTGAGTGTAGTGTCTTGAGAGTTGTAATATTTGAGTGTGTAAATCTTCTCTTTGGGTGGTCTTAATAATAATAATAATAATAATAATAATAATAATAATAATAATATTTGTGTGGCTAATAGTGTTGTGTTCAACAAAGGCCTTTCGAATTTAATAACGTGTTTACTTTTAAAATTTTGATTGTCATAAATCACTTCGTCTTTACAACATGATCCTCTTGGTCATATGAATTTTGTTTCATCTGTTTGTATGAAATTGACGTTTCTTGCATTCAATTTTATCTGAATCTTCCCGGTTTTGTTGTTACCCTTATTTATGTTGCGGACAATATGTTTGGTGGTCCCATATAATTCATAGAGATATAATAGAAGAATGACAACGTCGTATTAGTTGAATTCAAAAGTTGGGATAAGATTAAAACCCCGACACATTATTCTTTTCCCTTTAGTTGGAAGTGAATTGTGTTCAATCTTTATTTACCAAGCCTTGTCAAACATGGTAAATAAACAAATAAGAAGATGCAATGAATGAATCCTTGTTGGATCATATTCCATGTTATGGATCGAACTCCAATTCCAATAAATCTCATCAACTTCCATGGGAGTTCTGTCGAACAACTGTTGCCTTCAAATTGAACAACAATGGATGACACTTTTACCAAGTCTTCCATGAGGAATACATTATGGTTCTGTTTTTCTTGCAACATTTTTATGGGAAATGACAAATACATATTTCCCCAAAAGATCTTTTTACACTAACAAAAGTAAATCAAATTAAGATGGGAGGGTATTTTTGATTAGCTAAGTTAAGCCCCAATCTGGAAATGGGCAAGTACACATCTCTATAAGGGATCTAATGAAGAAAAAGTTATATAAAGAAAGAAACTCCTCAGAAAAAGAAAAGGGAAAAAACCAAAAATACCACTCAAAGTGATAAAAAAATATTATTTATGTTGCTCTACTAAAAAATAAATAATTATCATTAATAAAGAAAAATAAAAAGATATAATGTCGCTCAATTATTTAAAATGACATAACACAACCACAACAAACCATTTGCTTTTCTCGGAAAAAAAAAGTATTTTTAGCAGAGTGTAGCCCAATCTGGATATGGGCATTCATAAGCCCATCCTGGCCCAGAGTATCTGACACAATGTAGCCACAGACCCTCTTCATCACCATCATATCTGCAATCATGATAAGATTAAAAATGTTAAAGTTGATTTCTCTTTATTCTGATTGGTAAATAAAGTGACTTAAATATATGCATTGATGATTAATTAATAGAAAAAAATATCATTTGGCATCAAAGACAATGGCGCATTTGGTGTATGGAATCCTCGTGTTCACCATGCAGATAATCAATATTAACCATAATGGATCAAGTCAATGACACAAGTCTCTCACATTTACATGCACTTGGAGAAGGAAAACTCTGTTTGTCCCGATGAAAATTTATCCCCAATGACACAAATAGGTAGATCCTATAAATGGGCTCCACTTTTGTGTCTGATATGGATAAATACCCATCGAAACAAATAGGGCTGCTCCTTAGTAACGAAGCTCATCATTTTGATAAATGACAAAATTGGAACAGAGATCACAAGACAAAATGTTTACTCTACTTCGTGTGACAACCTAACATTCTATACACAACTGCAGACCACAACGGTAAACTAATGAACGAAAGAAAAAAGATCCTAATACTAGTAACAAAGAATCCAACTCCATACATTCCCCATTAAATATGTCGCAAATTAACTCACAAAGTTGGGATCAAATTTTGTACTTTGTGTTTCAACATATATCTTACCCTTTGGGACCCAAATTCGGACAGTTTGTACACATGGGGTCAATGCAGAAATCTTCAGTGGAAGACTCCTCATTTTGACGAAGAAAATCTTGTCCAGAACTGGGTGACAAAGAACGATCTAAACCGGCAGCAGCCCTATCAGCAGTTGTTCCTTCAGTGGAACGATCAACGAATTCTTTGGACAGGTAAAGCGTGTCATTGGCTATGGGATGTCCCGCATATTGCAAATGTACACGTATCTGCATAAAAAAAAAAAAAAAATGATTTTTTTTTGTAACTTAACGTTTTCTGTCAGAACAAAGAAAACACGCAAAGCACGGTCATAAGTTCATGACATTGGATCCATAAAAGGGAAACTACCACAGTAATGCAATTGAAATTAGACTACTAGGTGTGGAATCTCAAGAAAACTAAATGAAAGAATATTGCAGAATGGAAAGGAATATTATCAAATTTGTAAGGTATCAGAGGGAACCGAAAATCAACGTGTATGTTACGTGCATAGAAGCAATAAAGAGAACATGTTTCTATCATCTCCTTAAACTGTGAAATTACTTACTTGATGAGTTCTGCCAGTGACTGGTTCACACAAGACAATGCTTTGAATCCCGTTGGTAGCAATTCTAGTGAATTTGGTAGAAGCAGCCTTCCCCTTTACGGGCGTATCACAACAAGAGTCACCCACCTGCATAACCAAGAGTTCGGATTTATAAAGCACATCATCTTACTTTTCATATGCATAAGCCTAAGGAAAACGTAGGAGGAAAGTAATAAAAGGACTTCTTGGACAACTAAGAAGCAAGTAGTAACCTACATTTGAACCTCAACTTTTAAATGAAAAATTGTACGAGCAAAGAGCTCCACATATTACTGAAAAGCCAGCATCAACTATCCGTACAGTTAGGCTTTGAAATGAAAGATATACCTCTGCCGTGCTCCTTCCTTCCCGAGCATTATAATTTATGTTAACATCCACGACTTTCTGGAGAAGTAAAAGAATCATCAATATTTAGAGTGAGAAAAGCACTTATATAATTCAGCACATAAAATTTCTCTGCCTAGTGAATTATGGGTATAAATATCAATGCACGTATTATACTTATTAAAAGAGACGACCTGTAAATGCGTAGCTTAGATTGTTGGGGGAAATGCAAAAAATAACTGGTGGGTTTTCGGCTTGAATTTCCAGAAACTAGTTCTTATTGATAACAACAAATTGACAAGACAAAAGAAGTTCGGAATTTGTATCACACGTTCATGAATAAATTACACATCTTTGACAAGAGTATACCTCATGCTCAGGAAATACCCCAATGACTCTAGCAACATATTGTTTCTGCACTTTGCCTGCCTCAATCTGCCACAAGTGCACCCTACTTAAGGATGGTAAAAACTAAAGAAGTATTTTATGATCTATGAAAGATAAAGTTCATACCAAATGCCAAAAGAAAGCGAAACAACTCCTGTGCTTAATGAATTATAGGTCCAATTTCAAACAAATTGAAAAGAATTGACTCAGAAAAGGGTGTTTCAGGACGACTTCGTAATGCAATTAGAAATTGTGCCAAAATCATTTAACAGAAAAAAGATATATATTGTATTGCAGGGCCCAGCTTATTTCTTTTAACTTTGTCCCTTCAAGAGTAACGATATTTGTAGTTATAACACTAGTTGTAACTTTTTGCTCTGCAAGTGGGCATAAATTATCAGGCAACTGATTTGGCGAAAAGTCGTGTAGGTAATATAAGCTCGGCTAATAGTTAAATAATGATTGAAATCTTTGCATTTATACTAGTGGGCATATTATAATTCGGCAAATAATTTGGCGAAAGGACATGCAGATAGCATAAACCCAAGTAAGCGAAAAAGAAAAGAAAAAGGAAAAGGGGGAAAAAAAGTCAACAACAACAACAAAAATCAACAGCTATTTACAAAGGCGCATCATGCTAAGATAAGGATTTTGGGGGAAAGGAACTAGAAGATTGTTCCTTCTAAGTTTCATATAATAAACATCTCAGTCCAAGGCTCACTTGTTGCCTAAAACTGTCAGCCTTCGAAGCATTTCTTGCCAAGATAAGAAGTCCAGAAACTAAACGATCTAGACGATGTACAGCTGACATGATCATGGTCAAGGAAAGGACAAGAAGTAAAAGATTGCAAACAGATTAAATGACACTGTCAAATCACATAATATTCAAACCACACATGAGAAAAACGCAGTTTGGATACGAAATACAGGTGCCAAGTCATGCTCTGCTTGAAGAATGCCTACAACAGTGTTCTTACGATATTGACCACATGGATGCACCTGAATAGCAGTGAAAAGTCAAAAAATGCAAATCAAAATAAAGAGAGAATATAAGGCACAAAAAAGGGTGTCATGAATTTCCTGCATAGAATCATGATGTTCATTTCCAAAACAATTAAGAAATATCAGAAACTTATGTAAATATGTGATAGAAACACAACTGCTAAAGAGAAACACGTGTATAGCTAATTAATTTACCGACTAACCGGAGCAGATGCAGGTTTCCAAACAGTGACAACATCCGGTTCTTTGTGAAGAACTTTAACATCCAAAGCCAAAACAGGAGGTTCGTGCCTACAACCTTTGTGACATCAATTTCCCAACTTGATAACTTTCAAAATACAGTTTCTAAATCACGCAGACAAATAAACCCTCGAGACCAACAGGTCCAACAACAAAACATGAAAGAAACAAACAATGTCAGAAAACCATATGTTCCCTCTTGCAAAAAAAAAAAAAAACCAAGACAGAATCAATCACCAGACACCTGTGTAAGAAGTGGCTAATCTTTTGCGACGATTTTACGATATAGGAAACCGGGACCATCTCTCCATCAACTTGTATTCTCCCACATTTGACTGCACTAACCTACATTCATTCATTCATTCAAATCTTAACCTTTGATCGCTAAACTCATTGACTCACCCAAAACATGTACTAACAATAACCATAATAACCGCACTCAAATTGCAATGCACAAAACAAAGCACAACCATTAAGAATTTTCACATTTAGTAACCAGAACAATTTCTTTTTTTTTTTTTTTTTTTTACAGACAACAATAGTTGAGAAAGTTTACAAGAACACGAAATAGCTTCATACATAGTACTCATATGGCCTGCCTTTAAACTCTTCGGCGAACAAATCCACAATGGTCTTCCCTGCCCACCGAATCTTGACCTAACAAAACCAACCCAAGCAAAAAAAAAAAACAAATCTTGAGCTAATAAATTACAAATTAATAACAAAACTTCAGGGTTTAATCAGGGTTTTACCGGATTAATGCTTTTCATAAAAATGATTACCAAAATTGACATTCGGAATCTGAAAACTACATACATGAGCGATGAACTCGAAGTAGTACGGCCTGACGTGTCGCCTCCCTGCACAATCCCGCCAAAATTTCTGTCTTTATTTCTTTTTCATTCAAAAAAAAAGATCAAATTTTTTTTTTTGGTTTTTCTTGTTCTTGAACTTACCGTTGCGAAAAATGTAATCGTGCTTTTCAGGAGGATTCGCAGGAGTTTGCCAAACAATTTCCATTTTCTTCTTTTTCTCTTCTTCTTCTTCTTCTTCTTCTTCTTCTTCTTCTTCTTCTCTCTTTTTCCTCTTCATTTTCTCTCTCTTTCCAAAAGTTTCGGAATTTTCTGAGCCCCAAATTTTTGGAAGAACCCTAACACCAAAACGACGCCGTTTTCGTTGGACAACAGATTTTCAACACCAAAACGTCACCGTGGCGTGACCCACGCGCAGCATTGTAAACGACGTCGTTTGAAAGCGGTTGGTATTTGGCGAGGCGACACTTTCTTCTTTCCTCATTCGGTTCACCAACAAAACGCACCGACCTTTGGGAAACCCCGGTGGAAGGCAAAAGCTGAAGAGAGAGAAAGTTGTAGAGAGAGAAAGAGAGCGAATCGCTTAGCTTGATCGCCAATTACACCAAGAACAAGGTCCGATTCAATTTCTCCAACTTCAATTTTTGAAATTTTCGGAAAAAATTTGTGTTTTTTTTTTTTTTTTTTTGGATTTTTGAATAGCTTGAATTTGGATTATGGAAAGTTCAGAGCTTTTGATCTGTGTGTGAACTCGTCTTTGAGTCGGAGTAGTCCCTGAGAGGAAGGGTTTGTGGAATTCGCTCAATCGGGAGTGATCGGCCGGTGAATTTTGTTGATTGAAAGTCAACGATTTTCCGATGCCAGAGGAGGATTTGGTGGACATAAAATTCCGGCTGTACGATGGGTCCGACATCGGACCGTTCCGATACTCGTCGGCTTCCACCGTCGACATGCTTAAGCAGAGGATAGTCGCCGATTGGCCTAAAGGTATGTTCAGCTCATTTCTCTTCGGTTGTTTGGTGATAATTTTTAGTGTAAATTGGCTAAGGAAATTTTATCAATTTGCTTTAATTGTTGATCTGCTTGGAATTGGGATTGCGAGTGGTACTTTGGTCTCGATTTCTCTCGATGCATTCAAATTTTGGTGAAAATATTCTTGGTGACTTCTTGTAACAATTTGTTAGTATTTTGTTCATGTTCTGACTAACAAGTTCATGGAAATCCTTCAACTAAATCCTAAGATTCTCATGGTTAGTTGTTTATGGCAAATATCTTGGTGTTATCAGGTGGATTTTTCTATTTCTAGAAGTTTATTATGGTCAAAATTTTGAAACTTCATGTGAAAATGTGTTGCTTGACCAGAACGTGACATTGTCTTGCTATTTTTGTTTAGTTTGCATCTTTTATTATTCTATGTTTTTTGTGTGACTTGGTTTGAGTTTTCTTGTGGGCTTTTCGAATTCTTTTCATAGGCAAAACAATCATACCGAAAGGTGCAAATGAAGTGAAACTGATTAGTTCTGGTAAAATTTTGGAAAACAACAAGACTGTTGGTCAGTGTAAATTGCCCTTTGGTGATACTGCTGGGGGAGGAGTTATCATAATGCATGTTGTTGTACAGCCGTCTCCGGCAAAAACTAAACCGGGTAAGAAGATTAACATGGAATGTGGATTTGCTTATGTTAGGTGCAATAACTAGTCCGAAAGTGATAACAGTTTGGTTTTTCTTGAACAGAAAAGAAGATCGACGATACGCCGAGGAAAGTTGTTTGTTCGTGTTCCATATTGTGAAAGAAAAATGTTGTAGGCTCAGAGTCTCCGTGTCAAGCTTTGGCGATGGAAATGGAATAAGTTTGTGCGGCATCCATGTGTACAAGTGCAAGCTGGTGATGATACGTCTATGGAAAGTCACTTGTTCTTAATGACTCTTACAGATTATTTTGTCTACCGGTGCTATATTAATTTTCACCATATTTGTTTGCTTTCTCTCCTTTCCTCTTGTTTCTTTCTTGGCGTTTGGTCTTTTTTCTGTTCCTATAGATGTCACATGAATGTTCTGTCAAGCAAGCTGTATAGAGCTCTTTATTGTAAAGATCCACATTCAAAATCAAGGAGAAATGATGGATTCAATTTGGTTTGTTGTATTATATATGTACTAGTGCGAAATAAATTCAATAGTATGGCACTGAAGGATTAAATTTTTCTTAACTTGTAAGTAAGCTAGGGCATATGTCGTATTTTTCTTTGCTCAACTATGAAGTTATTGATAAAAATTTTACAATACTATGTTAGGGTGGGGTGGGACCCTTCTGCAAGCTACCGATAGTCACTCACAAGCTTGTTTTCTTGGTGACCTTGCAATGTCAAATCCAGTGAGTTATAAGGAGCAGATTTTCTGTTGACACACAAGACAAACAATTTTTACGAGGAGATACATAAAACTATAAAGATATGCTTTGCTACCAAGATAAATACACGCTTAAAGTCAAAACTTCTTCCCGATAAAATGTTTAAATAGAATATTGATGCTACAAAACAAACTCTTCCAACACATCTACAGAAGAAGCAATTATGCAACAGGGAGAGAGAAGAAAAAAGAAAACGATGAAAAGGGTACAAGATTCAATGTTCTAAATCCGCCTGAAAACTTTTTCTACTGCAGCTATTGTCTGTTGAATGTCTTCAGCAGTGTGAGCCAAGCTTGTGAACCCAGCCTCAAACTGTGAAGGTGCAAAATATACACCTTCTTCCAGCATTCCTCTATAAAACCTCGCAAACTTTTCGGTGTCACTCTTTTTTGCATCCGCAAAGTTGTGCACAGGCCCGTCTGTGAAGAAAAACCCAAACATCCCACTTATGGAGCCACCACACATTGCATGGCCAGCCTTTTGCCCAGCATCCAAAATACCTTGAGTAAGTTCGCTGGTGATCTTGTCCAAGTATTCGTAGCTTCCCGGCTGCTTCAAACGCTTAAGGGTGTGTATCCCTGCCGTCATTGCCAATGGGTTTCCACTCAGGGTCCCGGCTTGGTACATAGGCCCTGCTGGTGCCACCATTTCCATGATTTCCCTCCTTCCACCATATGCACCCACTGGCAGACCTCCACCAATGATCTTCCCCAGTGTCGTCAAGTCGGGAGTCATGCCAAAGTACTCCTGCGCTCCTCCGTAAGCCAAACGGAATCCAGTCATGACCTCATCAAAGATGAGGAGAGCGGCATTGTCTTTGGTGAGGTTGCGTATGCCAGTAAGAAATTCTGGCTTAGGAGGAATGAAGCCAGAGTTTCCAACGACAGGTTCAAGGATAATCGCAGCTATCTCTCCTTTGTTGGCCTCAAAGAGTTTTTCCACGGCTTCAAGGTCATTATAGGGGGCTGTTAGAGTGTCAGAAGTGGCAGCTTTGGGAACACCAGGAGAGTCAGGTAGTCCTAAGGTGGCAACACCACTACCAGCCTTGACAAGGAATGGATCAGCATGACCATGGTAACAGCCCTCAAACTTGATGATTTTTGACTTGCCAGTGTAAGCACGGGCCAGCCTGAGCACACCCATGCATGCTTCCGTACCCGAATTCACAAATCGAATCATTTCAATGCTTGGAACAGCTGCGATCACCATTTCTGCTAGTATGTTTTCTAGAAGGCAAGGCGCACCAAAGCTCGTTCCTTTCTTCATCGTTTCTGCAAGGGCTGCAAGTACCTGCAGGCACGTGCCAGATCAGGATGATGGAGTATAATAGCAAGAACAAAAATTCTCTGGCACTATCAAAGAAAGTTCAAAGACATATTGCAGAGAAAAGAAGGGATCAATATCATCTTGCCAAGCAGAATCCTCTTCAATACGTTGCTATATCCATTTAAAAGTTCTTATAATGATAATGAGTACACATTTTGAAGGGTAATATAAAATATAACCCTGAACAGAGATCTGTGCCACGGAAACAAGATCTCCTCTAACGACCATATTCTGAAGTTCTCGTACAATCAACACTGGAAACAAAATAACTGTAATGTACTATAAAATATTCAAATGCATGTTATATTTCAAAGAGAATAGAACCTCATCATCTGCGTGGCCAATGATTGCAGGTCCCCATGAACCCACATAATCAATGTACTCATTGCCGTCGATGTCCCACATGCGAGAGCCCTTGACAGAGTCAATGACAATAGGTTGTCCTCCGACAGATTTAAAAGCACGGACAGGCGAATTTACACCTCCAGGCATCAACTCCTGAAGAAGGTTTTCATGGGAAACTAGTCAGAGAGTTTGAAACATAGTTTTTTTCCTAATAAAGAACTGCCACTGTTAAGATCTCCGTATGAAAAAAGAGGTTATAATCATTCACTTCAAATGTTCTCATTTCAAAAGTTATATTAAGAAAACATAGAAATTCAACAAGATTATTCATTTCAATTGGCACAACTTAGGAAAACACAAATCATATGTGTAACAAATTGCACTTAGAATATCCAATTACCAATAACAACCATATAATTATCACTTAGCAATTAGTTCCCAGTTCAACACAATTCACCAGTTTTAAACTCACAGAGACTAATGTAGAGAAACAAAACTCAAATCAGAAAGTATGGCACAAATTTAAACCAGAACAAAGATTCAAACTTTAGAACCCCAACCAAGCTAAAATTCAGCCATTAACAAGAACATATCCCACATTGTCTTTTTCAGTACACTAGAAGCTTCATAAAACACCTTTATTCTGTACCAAGTTCTCTCAAGTAAACATGAATCTATTCAGCAAAGACAATGGAAATCAGATTCATTGCAAAGGAATGAATTTTTGAATTGAAACTCCAAAATGAGACCCCCAAAACTTCAAATTAATCTCTTGGTTGCTTACGTACAAGCAAAATCCCAATTAAAGCTCAATTAACAACAAATCCAATAAAAAAAAAGATATTCTTACAAAACCCAGAAACATTTTTGCATCTAAATTGAAAACTTCACCAATACGAACCAATCCCAGTTATCCTCACACTTATAAACAGTCAGAACTACAACGATTTTCTCAAAAAAAAAATTAATAATAATAAAAATAAAAAATAAAAGACAAAAAAATAAAAGATAAAGATAAAGGGAAAGATAAAGTGTACTTTGGCCGCATTGAAAGCCTCTTCAGATTTTTGTAGAGTGTAATTCTTCTTCTCGTCGAGGGAGACGGCCATTTTGACACAGCAAAAACGGCGAGAGGATTGCGAAAATTGCGAAGTGCGTCTCTGAGAAAGCTTCACGCTCGACCATGACGGACCAATTCCGACCACCGCAGCACTAGAGCTCGCCATTTCTCTCTCAACTCTCTCTCTCTCTCTCTCTCTCTGATCTCTGTGTCTTATTGGAGTCGAAGAAGATAAAGTTGGCTCTGTAGATACAACCTTTGATTGGCGTTTCTGACTTTTTGAGTTTTTGTAGCTTTACTTGTGAACTTGGAGATTTTATACGGGTCGGGTCCAAATATATTTGGGTCAAATTTCTAATAATAAGAAAAAGAGAGAAAGAGGAAAATAGGAAAATAGGTCAAGACTTGAGATGAATTAAAATTAATAGGTCAATAGTTTACATAAGTTAATAAATAGGCTAAATTACTGTTTTCGTCCATAATTTGTCTGGTTATGAACCATAACTTGACAAGTTATTATCCATAATTGTCCATAACTTGTCTGGCTATGAACCATAACTTGAGAAATTTGTCCATAACTTATCTGGTTATGAACCATAACTTGACAAGTTATGGCCTATTAATTTCTATAACTAAAAATTGGCCTATATACTTTCTTAAGTTTTTCATATTGGCTTATTTTTTACTATTTCCCTAAGAAAAAAAACAAAAGACAAATACTTCTTAAAAACACATCTTTAATTTTATTAACTATATTAGTCAAATAGATATTAAATAAAAATAGAGGGTAAAAATTAAATGTAAACGGAGAAATGAGATAAATATCTCTTAAAAATACATAAATTAAGATTTTTATTTTTTATTTTTAATTAATAATTTTTTAGTCAAATAATTATATTAGTAAAAGATATTAATTAAGAATTAGAGATAAAAATCTAAAGTCATGCACTCTTAAAAATAATTTTTTTAATTTTTTAATATGAATTCACCAATTTTTCCTAAAAAATACATAATTTATCTTGGTTTTATAAAAATTTATCATGAGTGTCATTCTTGTTTTTTACTTTCTTCTTCTTATTAATTGAGTTGTAACTGTTTATTTTTTAGTGGGGTAGTATAAATAAATTTTTTTTAGCCTATTGAGTGTTATTTTTGGTTTTTTCCCTTTTCTCTTCTACAATAATGACCACCACACAAGTGGGCCGGGACCAGCCCAACTGGTACTAGTCCAATTTGCACTTTTTTTGTTTTTTTTGTTTTTTTTTTTTTAAGAAAATGAAATCAGATTGCATTGGCATGCATGTTCAGAAGAGTGGAATTAAAATTGAAATTTACTGGTTTTTAAAATACTTTAGAAATAGTACGTAATTACTAGAACGATTTTCACTTTTTATATTATAATTTAATTTGCAATTACGACAATAATATTTTTTTCTTATTTCTAAAATATTTTAGTCATTAGATTACGCTATATGTCGAAATTTTAGAGGTGAATATAAATGAACGCTTTCAAATTAAGATACCGCTGCAACGTTGTTCACTATAGCAAGGAGTTTGGTGTTGGCAGAGGGGTTAGAGGATTTTCAATTAAGAATAAACAATCAAATAAACTATTACTTACTAAGGCCTCATTCATTTCACTAATTCGAGTTTTCAATTCTAATTTTGTTACAGTTAAAAACTCACAAAAAGTCACATTCAACTTTTTTGTTACAATGAAAAGCTCTTACATAAAATCACATCTCAACTCGAATCCTCAAACTAAACAAGACATAAAACATTTTTGTTTACGGGTTTGGTGGAGAATTTTGCGAGTGATAGCGTGTTAAGTCCAAAAGAATTAACAAGTAAATATTTAATTTATTAGTCAAGAAAGAAACCACGTCAAATTTGGTTGGTTTGTTAGGAGTACGAACATGTTTGAGACATGGTTCAAAAGAACTGCGTCAAAATTTTGAATTTATGTTCAAATCTATATGAACCAAACGGGTAAAATATTTTAAATCTGCATTAAAACTTTTTCTGCTACGCTGATTATCTGTTGGATGTCTTCAAAAGTGTGAGCCAAACTTGTAAGCCCAGCCTCAAATTGTGAAGGTGCAAGATATACACCTTCCAGCATTCCCCTATGAAACCTTGCAAACTTTTCTGTGTCACTCTTTTTTGCATCTGCAAAGTTGTGCACAGGCCCTTCTGTGAAGAAAAACCCAAACATCCCACTTACGTACCCGCCACACATTGCATGGCCAGTCTTTTCGCCCGGCATCCAAAATCCCTCGAATAAGTTCGCCGGTGATCTTGTCCAAGTACTCGTAGCTTCCCGGCTGCTTCAAACGCTTTAGGGGTGTGTATCCCTGCAGTCATTGCCAATGGGCTTCCACTAAAGGTCCCGGCTTGGTACATAGGACCTGCTGGCGCCACCATTTCCATGATTTCCCTCTTCCCTCCATATGCACCAACTGGAAGACCTCCACCAATGATCTTCCCCAATGTCGTCAAGTCCGGAGTCACGCCAAAGTATGCCTGAGCTCCGCCAGAAGCCAAACTGGAATCCAGTCAAGACTTCGCCAAATATGAGGAGAGCGCCATTGTCTTTGGTGAGTTTGCAGATGCCAGTAAGAAAGTCTGGCTTAGGAGGAATGAAGCCAGAGTTGCCAACAACAGGTTCAAGGATAATCGCTGCAATCTCTCCTTTGTGGTCCTCGAAGAGATTTTCCGCAGCTTTGAGGTCGTTATAGGGGGCAGTTAGAGTGTTGATATTGGCAGCTTTGGGAACACCAGGCGACTTGGATAGTCCTAAGGTGGCAACACCGCTACCAGCCTTGACAAGGAATGGATTGGCATGACCATGGTAACAGCCCTCAAACTTGATGACTTTCAGCTTGCCAGTGTAAGCACGGGCCAGCCTGAGCACACCCATACATGCTTCTGTACCCGAGTTCACAAATCGAACCATTTCAATGCTTGGAACAGCTGCAATCGCCATCTCTGCTAGTGTGTTTTATAGAAGGCAAGGGGCACCAAAGCTTGTTCCTTTCTTCATCGTTTCTGCAAGGGCTTCGAGAACCTGCAGGCAAGCGCCAGATCAAAATGATTCGAGTACAATAGCAAAAATAGAAGTTCTAAGGCACTATCAAAGAAAGGGCAAAGACATAATAGCAAAGAAATCAAGGGTCCACCAAAAATATTGTGTTACCAATTTACCAATTTTGAAGGGGTAAAATAAAATAGAACCCTGAACAAAGATCTGTGCCACAGATACAGGATCTTCTCTTTGGAAAATAAAAATTAAGGAAGAAATTCTAACATGTTCTTACAACACACACTTGAAAAAAAAAATGCAACGATCTATAAAATAATTGAAAGCACATTAGATTCCAAAGAGAATAGAACCTCAACATCTGCATGTCCAATGATTCCAGGACCCCAGGAACGCACATAGTCAATGTACTCATTGCCGTCGATATCCCACATGCGAGAACCGTTGACGGAATCAAAGACAACAGGTTGCCTCCAACAGATTTGAAAGCACGGACAGGCGAATTTACACCTCCAGGCATCAACTCCCGAAGAAAGTTTTCATGGGAAACTAATTAGAGAGTTTAAAACATAATTTGCTCTCAGTTAAAATAACTACCATATATAAGATGTCCATATGAAAACAGAGGTTAACATCATTTACTTCAAATGTTCAACTCACATTTCAGAAGTTCTGTTAAGAAATTTCTTACAAATGTGGCACAACTTAGGAAAACATAAATACTATGCACAATAAATTGCATTTAGAATATCCAATTACTAATAAAAACACCCTAAATTATCACTCAGCAATTAGTATCTAGTCCAACAATTCACCAATTGTAGTTAACTCACAGAGACTAAGTTCAAACTTTAGAACCGCAACCAAGCTAAAATTCAGCCATCAACAAGAACGAATACTACATTGTCTTTTTCACCTCAGAAGAAACTTCATAAAACACCTTTATTCTGTACCAAGTTTTCTCAAGTAAACATGAAACTATTCAGCAAAGACAATGGAAATGAGAACCATTGCAAAGGAATGAACTTTTGAATTGAAACTCCAAAATGAGACCACCCCAAAACTCCAATTTGATCTCTTGTTTGCTTACATACAAGCAAAATCCCAATTAAAGCTAAATTAGCAACATCAAATCAAATCCCAATCAGCCTTATAAAATCCAGAAACGTTTTGCGCATCTAATATGAGAACTCAACAATACCATCCAATCCCAGTTATTCTCACGCTTATAAAAGGTCAAAAGCATCAACTACGACAACATTCTATATATACATATATATATATAGAGAGAGAGAGAGAGAGAGAGAAAGAGCTACATATATATAGAGAGAGATACACACACACACATATATATATATATATATCAAGATAAAGGGAAAGGGAAAGTGTACCTTGGCGGCATTGAAAGCCCGTTCAGATTTGTGCAGAGTGTAGTTCTTCTTGTCGTTGAGGGAGACGGCCATATTGACACAGCAAAAACGGCGAGACATTGCGAAAGTTGCGAAGTGGGTCTAAAGCTTCGCAACAAGTTAACAGTGGTTATATGTAAATGCAAACTTTTTCATAAATAAATAAAAAATGCAAACTTTGATTTTTTTTTTTTTTTTGGGTTATTTTTTGTCCTTCTATTTTACATTTATTTAGCAAACATATACCCTTAATTTTAAAGTGTTACAAATGTATGCTTTAAAATTACATTTAAAAGTAAATATGTACTTTTTTTAACAATCAACACTTGATTTTAACCCGTCAAATCATCAGATTAACCTTAGTAGAATCATCTAATAGTATACGTATGTGAAAAATCGAAAATCAAAGTCACTACCATTAAGGTTCACATTAGGATTATCCTAATTCCACTTTTACATGAGCCCCTTAAATTAGCGTACGTTCATGGCCTACTAAATTAGCATTCTAAATTTTGTAATAAAACACACAAATAAATGAAAACAATTATTGGTAATCCCATACTCTTCATTCAGTTTATTCGATTTGGATGTGCATTTGGTGGCCATGATGCTCATTGCATTTCACCAAACAATTACAACTCTTTGCAGTGCCTATGCTGGACCTCAGCTAGGCTGTCAAACAATAATAAAAGAGAGCTAATAGTTTCCTTTTCTCTTTTTTTTTTTTCCCTGACAAGGCTTGTACTTAATGGATTTCAATTTTAACTGGGAATTATAGTCACTGATTACCCCTATTCATCCCCATAAAAACGTAAAATAGTAGAAAATATGTAAATATGAAAAATTTAAGAAAATATATAGGCTAATTTTTAGTTATAGAAATTAATAGGTCATAACTTATCAAGTTATGATTCATAACCAGACAAGTTATTGATAAACTTATCAAGTTATGGTTCATAGTCAGACTAGTTATGGACAATTATGGACAATAACTTGTCTGGTTATGAATCATAACTTGACAAATTATGGACAAAAATAGTAATTTGGCATATTTATTAACTTATGTAAACTATTGACCTATTAATTTTAATTTATCTCAAGTCTTGACATATTTCTCTCTTTCTCCCTATAAAAACACAGGGTGGGCTTCCTTTTTTTTTTTTTTTACTAACTCGTGACCCATCATTCTGTAAATGCAACTCGACGAATAACAATTTTCTAGTGTTATATATGCTTTTTCTGTTTGATCATTTTTTCATTTTTAGGTTTAAGTTAATAAATCATTTATAAGATAAGCTACCTTGACCATAAATGAATAAAGGAAAAACGTACTGCTAATTTCAGATAGTCGAAACGCCTACGAGTGTAGCTTTCACAAGATTTCTAACTGGCTCAAACGCTCGACATGAAATATAATGGTAATCACAAATTGCTCATCTATTTTAAGCTTTCATGCATGCAAAACAAATTGAGCACTTGCATAGTTACATGCAAGATGAAAATCTCAGGAGAGAAATATTGATTGTTCAATTGGGCATTGTAATTGTAAACCATGGGCAATTATTAAAATATATATATGTAAACCATGGGCTCGTGCATGTTGACCATAACTTCCTCTAATAAGTCAACTTTTTTTTTTCCTTCTTTTGCTAGTAAGGCCGCTGTAAATTGAATACGATCATTGTGAGCTTCGCGAGAAAAAGCTAGCTAACAATTTAAGACAATGGAGACAAATTCTCATTAAGACCTATATATGTTATATCGTGTCCAAAACAATATAGAGCATATATCACTGTCAGGAGCAAATTCATTCTCTTTACCACGTTTTCCTGAGAAACAAACAAAAACGAATATTCCTCTAATCACAACTTTAAACTCTTGTCCCCCATATATGTAAACCACCATATAGTATATTAACCTTTCAGCAAAATATATATATATATATAGTATAAAAATCTCGTACAAAAACCAAACAAATTAGTTCCAACAAATCCTACGAAGATCATAAGCAAAACCGCAACTTTTCTGGACAAAATATACCTAAACCAACGACCCAAAAGACCTCTTTACAGTATAAAAATCTCGTGATCAATAGAAAACCGAAAAAACCGCTCAAAACCATCAAAGATATAAAGCAAAAGCAGAACCACAAGAAAAGGCAAAATGGGCATCAAGTATATCAACAATTGACCATACCCCAAATCCTGCTTTGGGTGCTTTATATGATTGACGTAGTACGTACTACTGTTTTTTTTTTTTTTTTTTTTTTACGTGTTGAAAGCCAGCCGAAACTGTGACTAACTGCAGGAAACCGAGGAAACTGATAGTGGGTAGGGATAAGTATTGGCATACTGAAAGAAGATAGTACGACCGTTGATCAAGGGATTGCCGTCGTTAACAAGACAGTCACCATACTTGAGGCGTTTGAAGACTTTTGGGTTGATGAGATTGGCCGAGCTGAACCAGCCACAGTTGAGGTGAATCCTAGACATGTTGCAGCCCGTGACGCACACGTTCATGATTTCAACTGTGTAGGTGGGTATGCCACTTGGGAGTGGGGCTGTGGGGCCTTGGTTTATCAATATATCCGACTTCGTACAGTAGTTATCTCCCCTAATTCGGTTTGGTTCCTCCACTTGATCTTTGGCTGTGAGGAAAAAAAAAAAGGCAATATAAATCAAAACCATCGCCATAAATTCTCAACAGTGAAAGGCTATATATGCATTCATGATTTTAAACTTTGGAGACAATTAAGACAACATATATAGTGTATCTGTGTATGTGATATGATGGACCATACACCCACCAATAGGGTGAGGCGGCCATAGACAAAAGACGCTTTTTAGGACGTGATTTACCAGATCCATACGACAAAAAAGACAAACCAATCCAAAAGGCTAGACAATTGAGTTACCACGCTTTTGCTTTACTTTCCCTGTAGCTCATTCTTTTCATTTATCTCAAAGTTTGTATTTGGAAAAAAAAAATTAAAGAATTCAATCAATGCATTAGTTTACTATTTATCTTATTTTGTCACTTTCCATTCTCTTCTTTTCAAAGGGCGCTGAATTTACCTAAACAATCATTTAGTTAACACATCTTGACATCCCAAAACAATACTAAATTAAGCTAATGGATATTAGGTGTGCTAAATCGCCCACAATAGTGAATGCAGACCGACCTAAATGCCAATACTTTTTCAGACCATACCCCAACAACAATAAACAAAAAGAAAAGACCAAACCAAATTTTTATTTTAAAAAAACAAAGAGAGAGGATGTAAAGGATAGGGTCCACATAGCTACCAGCGCACGTTAGCACCACCGTAACGAGAAATGGGCGTGAACTTCTGACAAATTGAACGTACACATATGCTGTGACGTTCATGGAAACCAAATGGTGAAACCAAAAATTGGTCATCTAAGAATTTTCTTCAGAAATTTTCTAAGAACAAATTCAATTATCTCAATTGAAGATATCCATATGAAGCTTTGCTAAGACAGTGCCAAAACTATGAAAAAAGAAAAGAGTAAATGAATAAGTTTCTCTTAATTACCACCAAGAAGCTTGCGGTGAGTTACAGTGAGAGTGTTGTTAAGCCCTATTTCAGAGCTCCGCGAGCTTAGTCCCATGGCGAAACGGTCGTTAGTGAAACCTGAAATTACAAATTATGAGAAAGAAGAGAATCAATTTTATTTTCTTTTTATAATTATAATGATCAACAGTAAAGAGAGACAAGAACAAGGAATTAGAAGAGACCCCATCGTTGTCGCTGAAAGAATAGCAAATAACAGACAAATTTTTTTTTTATTTTTTATTTTTCAAAAAAAAAAAAGCAAAACGAAGCAAGAGAATAAAATATCGTAATTAAAAACCATTATTAATAATAATAAATTATAAAAGAAAAAAAAAACAACGTAAAGATTATCTGGTGTTTTCGGAGAGTCTTGGTCCGTACAATTACCTGAGAGAAACCAAAGAAGCAATACCAGTGCTGCTCCGACGAAGATCGCCGCAGTGACTCGGTAAGCCGCCATCGCTTTGTGAAAGCCAAAAAGCCGGAAAGAGTTGAAGGAATCGACCACGACTCGGTCTGAAAACTCGTTTTAAATCGTCACGGCAGATTAGAAGCCTGGAGAAGAGCCTGAAGTACTCTTCAGAACCTGCTTTAGAGAGAGAAAGAAGAGAGAGGAGACATAGATAAAGTGAATTTGAATCACATCAAATCAATCAGAAAGTAACAATAGCCGTCGATATGAAGGAGGTGAGCAAAAAGCGGTGTGAATTTGACTTCCCCGGTATAGAGAGAGAGAGAGAGAGAGAGGAGAGAGAAAGGGAGATATTAAAGGCTCACGGGAACTAGGTTTATAGGCTTTTCTTTTCCACTGTAGAATAGGCAAACGACGGCCATTAGAGACCAGATTGTCAGCTTCGAAACAAAGCACAGAAAAAAAGCAGAAAAACAAGAAAAGGCTTAAAACATCTCGCGAAGTCCGAGAAACCACCTCAAATCTCGAATCTCAAATTCTCAATCAACTCCTAATGATTCTACCGCAAGTAATAATACGACCGATTCTCTCCTCGATCCAAACAAAGAAAAATCCACAGAAAAATTCAAAAAAATAATTATTTTCCTGAATAAGGAGAGAAAATGTGGATTTTCCGGGAAAAAGTCGGAAAGGCATGGCAGCGAGATTTACTACGAGAGATAGAGAGAGAAGAAAATTTGAGTGAGACTAGCGAACTGTACTATTAGCAGTAGTATAGTACTAGTACGACAAAGCTTTTTCTATTTTCGCTACGACCACGAATTGAACTTTTTCCAGAAGCAAATCGCACAAAACACACACAGAGTAGTACTACAACTATGCATATACATACATACATAGATATATAAATACAATATGCAGAAGCTCCTCTAAGCAGACAAAAATGGCAGAAGAACCACAGCGAAATCGTCGAAAGCCATAATTGACGAAACACCACAATCCGCAAAAGCCGATCGTTTCTCTACGCATTTATTTCACACACCGATATAGCACATGCATGTGTGTGTGTGTGTATATATATATTGTATGTATCTATGTATGTATATGGTGTTTATTACCTTGGGATGGCTGAGACAGAGAGCATTGGGGTTCGAGAAGGAATTAGGGTTCTTGTTGGGAGTTGCAACTTCGAATATATATATACACATATAGAGAGAGAAGCTATTGATGTAATGAAGGAAAGAGAAAAGGAAATTAGGAGTAGGACAGAATTAAGTGCACGTGGGACTGCTAATTACTGTGATAATGACGGCAAGAATGGAAATGATTTTATTTTTTATTTTTTATTTTCTCGGCTTTCTCTCGATTTTCTGATCAACCTATCAAGCGTAGCGTACGTGTGCCTGTGGGACCAGGAGAAATTTATTTATTTATTTATTTATTTGTGAATTATAGAAAATTAGTAGATTATTTGTTGAAAGGAAAATGAAAATAATAAATAAATAAGAAAAGAAAAAAAAATTTGTAGTGTTTTTTCAGTATTTAGAAATGTAATTAGAAACAAAAGTAGATGTTTAGTAATAGATTCGTTTCTTGATTCGGATCATGATTCACGGTTCGTTATAATATTTTTTCTTATAAAAAATACACATAAATTAAAAATAATTATAATCACATGATTCTAATCCATGAACCAAACCTCTCATGGTTTGGTAAATTTTTTTTGGTAAACATGTAAATCGGGGTTAAAAGTGAAAATTCCTTTTCCTTGTAGTTCTTTCATGACATGTAAACATGCCCTTAAAGTATTTCAAAATGTAAGAATGTTCAAAAAAAAAAAAAAAAAGTTGAATTGTCATTAACTCGGCTAAACATAATCGATAATTATTACCTTTTCATTTAAAAAAAAATCGATCATTATCATTAATATTATGGACAAGATTTGCATATCATGTTATTCCCCTTGTAATAATAACTCGAATCTAATGAAGTTTTTATTCTAATAATTATTTAACCTCGTTCTATTGGTTAAATATTTGACAGCTGGGTGTTTGCTGAAGTTTTTCTTTAGTAGGTAGTTTCCTCTTTCCATTCTTTCCCTGAAGTCCCCCTTTTTTTTTTCCCGGAAAGTTTCTTTTTCCATTCTTGTGGCAACTTATATCTTTAGGTACTCACTCCTTTCTTTGAGAAAAGTAAATGACTGGTCTAAATATCCCATGTTTTAAGGGATATAAAGAATCAAGGTTTCTTAATCAGAATATAATTAGGAGTTATCTAAAAGGACTATAAATAGAGGATTTAATAGAAGAAAATCCCATCTCACTCTGAACATTAGTGTTGTAAACTTTTCTCATTTAGTGATTATTTTCTCCTCTCTCCCTTACAGTAGGTGTAACTCTCATAATTAAGAGTGAACCACTATAAATTTATGTGTTTTTTTTCTATTTTCTTGCATTAATTAAGTTTTGCTCACACCGTTTTTGATACAGTAAAAAGCTCTCAGAAACAGTTACATTTAACTTTTTTGTTACAGTAAAAAGTTCTCACATAAAGTCACATCTTAATTCGAATTAAAAACTCGAATCAGCGAACTAAACGAACCCTTTTAGCGTAATCTCTATTAATTAGTAGAAAGATTCATAAATTCATTGTTAACGTATTTTTACCGTCAATAAATTAAATGATAATTATTTATTTTTAAATGTCATGATATAAATAATATTCTTAACCACATTGGGTGGTATTTCTAATTTTCCTCTTTCTCTTTTGAAAATGACTTTTCACAAAGAGAACTATAGAAAGAAAATCCTTCCAAATATATCGCCATGGAATAATTATAGCGCATGTGTAATAATTGCTATACCATGTTGACAGGGAAAAAAAAAAAATATATATATATATATATATATATATATCATACTCAGAAAGTTGATAATTACTATACCATGTTGGTAAACAAAATTTGACAAATAAAGCAATGCTAAGCATTTTTTTATTTTTATGGAAAAGCAATGCTTAGTATTACTCATATAATGTGAACGTTTGAAAAAAAAAAAAATGTTGTTGGAAATAACACATTAAAGGAAACAATATAAATGTTGTCACGGGATACGAAATGGAAAGATGACTTTTTTTGGAACCATATATTAAATGACAGGCATGTAACCTTGATTCATTGAAGTGTTTTTTTCCACTTTAATTTCCTAAAGAACTTTGCATTACTTTCTATTTTTATATCTATGGGAGTAAACTTACAAATACTAAAAATCTTTCATTTTGATCCTTAGGAAGCAACAAACTAAGGTACATTTTTATTTTCACATTCAGTCCTACAGTGACGTTTTTTGCTATTTTGATGACCTGTCTTCTTCTAATAGCACTATTCTGAGTAATTAAGGAGTTAACATTTTTATAATAAACAAAAAAAAAGTCTTTCCTTTCTTTTTTTTTTTTTTTTTAGGCTGCCTTTCTAGAGTATCACATATATAGTTCATTCTTAGAATTTGATATTTTGGGTACTACCTTTGACTTATAGGACGTTTTTAAATTTGGAAAATTATTCTTAAATATTTCTCAATAGGATAAGATATTTCATATCAATTTTTTTTTAAAAAATAAATTTAATATCTATACTCATTAATTCACAGAATTTTTTACGTTTAAAGTACTTGGGGACTAGGGTGTGTATTTTTACGTTTAATGATTGATTTTATTTTAACAACATGCTTTTGTGTACGTGTTCGAAGAATGTTTATTGTTATATCTATGGCTTTGTGTACTTTCTCTTTTGATGTTGAGTTTGTATGCATAGATTTTGACCTTTTTTATAATGACATTACTTCTATTTTAATGACATGGCTCGGACAATTTCGATGGAATTGAAATATTGAATATTGATATCGTTTCCTTACTAATATTCTTTATTAAAGATATTGTAATGAGATAGAGATATTATGAGAATACGTTCAATTGGATTTTTTCTTAAAGAAAGATTTCATTCAAAATTAACATATTACATAATTAATAATAGTCGCAAATGATCACCAATTACAAAGGAATCCTACTTTGCACATTAACTAGATCACCAATGAAGACAGATGAAACTAAGGGTTAACATAAGTGCCGGGACCCAACGAGAAAAGTCTCGCTTAGCACAAACAAAATCTAGTGTGATCAAAACTCGTTACAAATAATCCCTATAGTCAATGGATAAAACCAGTCAACTAAGACCAAACACTAAATATTGAGGAAACAAAGGACGCAGTCTAAATATAAATATAGTCGTAAACGAACACACACAGTTGATAACTAACTCAGACGGGAGACACACATAAATCAAAATGTAGGAAAACTACCTCCGTTGTTATAATACATAAACATGTGAAAACAATGCATTTATTAAAATTAACAAAATACTAATAAAGCTTTAATGGCATCAGCCAGGCGGGAAGAAAAATCGGCAACAAGTTAGCCACCACAGTACGAAGGCCAAAGAACCTAGATATGATCAGAGTTACCACAGAATAATCACTACCACCGGCGACTAAAATGAAAGTGAAAGCAACCTAACGAAGCCTTCATACTAGATATTCATCGTAAACCTCATGCTCCTCACACCGGCAGAATTCGTCATGCCTCCAATTCCAACACCAGTAGCCCCAAGACACCCACCGCTCCTCCCCCACACCATATCAATGAGGGGGCCAAGACCCCACTGCAAGGGTGCCACCATACTCCAACTCATCATATCTACACCTTTATTGCCCATAGACCGCGCCTATCAACGGCCAATTGGACCCGTATGACTTGAGCCACTGTCTCAAGGACTAGAGCCTGGCACCACCGATCTCAAACTTAAAACCCCAGTCGCACGATCTTGAGAGCTAGAGAGAGAGAGAGAGTTCAATTGGAAAATTTGATTGTTTTAAAATTTTCAAAATATTGTGAATGGGTATCTAATTTTATTACTTTGTGATTTTGGTTTGTTAGAATGGATATGATACATGTTATGTTTCTTAAAAACAAATATCATTATTAAGTTCAAAACTCTCATTATACATTTAAACTCAGCCACACAGAGTATTATGAGCTTTAGTCAATATGATATTATATTTAATTATCAAAAAATATGTTATTATATTTGTTATAGATGCTATAAACTCATAGCCTATATATTAATATTTGTAGTAAACTCCCCAAGAAGATTATTCCTAAGAACAAAAAATGAGTTCATTTTAGTGAATATTATGTAAATAGAAAACAGTAAATATTAAGTAAATATTGAGTGTTTAGTTTGGGGCTTCGTAGAAGTAAATCCGGTAAATCCAAAATTTATTAAATTTAATCATAGAATAAATGTCGGTAAAACTCCAATTTATCAAATTTAAACAGGGAATAAATCCCGAGGATCCTGAATTTATTAAGGGCTCGATTGAAAGGTATACTGAAATTATGATTATTGATTCTTATGTTTGAAATTTAAATTTTTCATGAGAAAAAAATAAAATCAATGATTTGAGTTTGAGTTTATAAACAAATAGCCCTAAATATCAACACAGAGTAAACCGATTTACCAAAATTCAATTCTAATTATTTACCAACTTCTTCCCAAAAGATAACACTGACTATTTTTATTCTTGAAAAGACTAATTACCTCCTCTGTTTTATCACTCCACAAATAAGTTTTTAACTAAAAAAAAGGAAATTTTAATCAACTTAACACTTTTTCTCGAAATGTTTATTAATGCATTTGAAAAGAATAATATAGTAGATATTTTCTTTTGTTATTTCACCCCAAAAAGCAGAAAAGATGTTATACCCTAGAGTTTATGGGTGTGACTTTTTATCATTTATTTTTAATTAATATATTTTTTAATAATAAAAATTTAGATTTACGCACTCATTGAGAACTTCATTATACTTTATGATCAGCATCTTGCAATCTCTCTGTGTACGTGTAATTTTTAGGCATTTATCAATTCAAACTGCCGAATAGTGAAGTTTATAATTCAAGGTGAGTCAAATTAATACTTTACCAATATGGGAGGAACTCTTTTGGTACAGAAAAAACAATGAAAGTCCTATGTTTCAATATACTCCCTTGTCCCCATCATACTATGAGGTCTTTCCTATTGTGGGATGTACTCAGTTACCGTACAAAGTTTCTGCGGGCCCAAAGTTGTATTTATTCCTACACTTATATTTAATGAATTGAGGGGGAAAAATATTGATAATAGTAGTCAACCTTCGATACTCCATAATCCGTCTTTAGGAATTAAGACTCAGAGAACGTTTAGTTTATATATTTAGAATTATTATTTATAATTATTCTCATTTTATGTGTATTTTTTATAAAAAAAAATACTGTAAAGAATCATAATTTATAATTCATAATAAAAAATAAATATAAGAAACAAACGACTTCTTAGTTGGATGAGTGAGATCTGGACTTATCCTTCGAATAAAATGGAATAAATCATATTCTATTGATGGGTTTTGAGATTCTCAAAGGAGAAAATTATTAATCTTATTATTAAAGTATATAATTCTAGATTTTTTTATTAATACACTTTTAATTATCATAGTTATTTGATTAAAAAAGATATTAATCAAGAGTAAAAAATAAAAATTTAAACTCACATACCCTAAGAGATATTTATCCTTTTTTCTCCTTTTTATAGTGACAAAGAATAGGGCTGTTCATAAACCCGCAAAACCCACAGACTCAACCCACCCCACCCCACCCCAACCCAATCTAAAAAATGTAATTTATAGTATTAAATATTTTTTTGCGGCTCATTCAATGTCTGGCCCGAAGTTTTAGGACGGGGTGTGGGTTGGGCCTATAATGACATGCACACCCCAACCTAACCCGCGCTATAGCTTGCCTCCTCTAATATCTAATCCTAGGCAGACAACTCATTTCTACTCTCTACTTTCTTCATATTTGAATTAAGTTTCTATGTTTATTTTATGTTAAGACTAATTTATGAGTGTCGACTAATTTATGTTGGCTTTATGTTTGATGTTGAATGGACTACTTTACTTCATGTTTAATGTTGAATTGAACTTTGAGTCTTTGATCCTTTGAATGTTGAAACCGACTACCTAACCCACCTCGCACCGTCCCAACCCAACCCAAACATTATTGGGTTGTGAAATTTTTCTAACATCGTTGAGGCTAAATATGTGCAACCCGCACCCGTTGAGATGGGAGAAGAAAAATTCTTATCTCGCACCAACCTAACCCATTAACAGCAACCCTAACAAAGAAAATGGGTGACAAAAAAGATGGGGGACAAAATGACACTAATAATCGTTTTATAAAAAAAAAAAAAAAAGAGAAAAAGAAAAGGTTGTATTGGTTGGCTTCTAACTTTGTGCAGAAACCGCAAGAAAAAGAACAACCTCGTCGTAAATGGAACTTCCGCATACAGTTCAATTTATTGAAAGGTGGTTCACCGTCTCGGGCCATGGATGTTGCCCATGATGTCGACTCAATTATAGAAAAGCACCATCCTTTTCTAGTGAAAGCAGAAACTTCCTGGCCATTCCTTTATTGTTTTAATTTTTCTGCTCCCAATTAAAGACCATCCAAAACAAGAGCTATACGCTTCTGTGTCAAGAAAGTTAAAAGGGTTCGTTTGGTATGAAAATTTAAATTAAAGTGATTTTAATTATAATTTTAAAATTAAAATTAGAAAAATAGTAAAAAAATAAGCCAATATAAAAAGTTTAAGAAAGTATATAGCTCAATTTTTAGTTATAAAAATTAATAAGTCATAACTTATCATATTATGGTTCATAATCAGATAAGTTATGGACAAACTTGTCAAGTTATGGTTTATAACCAGACAAGTTATAGACAATTATGGACAATAACTTGTCAAGTTATGATTCATAACCAGACAAGTTATGGACGAAAACAGTAATTTAGCCTATTTATTAACTTATGTAAATTATTGGCCTATTAATTTTAATTCATCTCAAATCTTGGCCTATTTCCCTCTTTCTTCCTTAAAATTATGATTCATGATTTTGGATTCAAATTATGATTTAAAAATCATAATTCAAAATCAAGGGTTTGAATCAACTTGAATCAAGAGGATAGTGGTTTTAGAATCATGAGTGATTCTAATTTAAAACATCGCATCAAATTTTAAATTATGATTTAAAATCATTCAAATCAATTACTGATTCAAAATAACTATAAATAAATACTAATTTTAAATAAATACCCATAATCATAATTCTAAATCTATTTATTAAACACCCCTTAAATGAACAAAAAGATTGAAAACTTTTTTATCTCTAATGCAAATGTCAAAATTCCGTTTTTGTCTCAATACGTGTCATGGAACTGCTTTTTCATAGCGTGCATCATTTTTCCCATGACATCAATTGAAAAGCAAATCTAAAATCAGAAACTTTGGTACTACTAATTCCTTTTCTCATTAGTTATTACTAGACCACGTCAACTCGTGTCTTTTAAAGCTTCTTCATTCTTTGTTGAACGATTTTTCTGTGTCTTTTATTAGAACAGGAGTTTCCAGACTAGGGAGATCATTATATCCAGTGTTGTGTCTTTAACCAAAGTGAAATGTTTAGTTCATAAATTAAAATTATAAAATTAAAATTATTTTTAATTTATGTGTATTTTTTATGAGAAAATACTGTAACGAATCATGAATCATGATTCAAATCGAGATACAAATTCCCTAACCAAACAACCCTTTGGAGCAAAAATTCATTTTATGATTCAAATCATAATTTGTGATTCGTTATAATATTTTTTCTCATAAAAAATACACGTAAATCAAAAATAATTTTAAATTATGATTCTAAATTCATGAACCATACGTCCCTTATAACTATTCCCAACAGAAGGAAATATTTTCTACTGATAATGGCGGTCCAGTACAAATATGAGGGACATTCAAAAGAAACAATCTTTATATTTAGACCACCCAATAATAAATTTACCAAGAACCATCACGGTAAATATGCTATAAGATTATTATTTTTTCTTCCTGACAGAGATGGCCGGACATTTTTAGAGTATTTAAAAAAAAAAATTAGCAAAAGATTATGTAAAAGTAAAACTATTAGATATTAGTGGCATGCTACACGTCATATACTCTTTAGGTTAACCAATTATAATAACAAAAAAAAAAAAAAAATGGCAATCGAGCATGGGTGAGAGCATCTTAAGACAGAAGTCACCTTTCTAGCAAATAGATATCTCTCTTTTCCTCTTTGGGTCTAATCTAATTTTTAGGAGAAAATATCAGTTACAAAGTAATGAAATTAACATTAAACAAAAAATAATAATAGACCAACTGCACAACTAGTGATTCTAGCCCCCCACGTCAGATATGAACGGAACCCCAAGCGACCATTTTGTATCTCTGTTTTCCTCGTTGGGTCTAACGTAATTTATCCAAGAAGAGGAATCAGTTACAAAGTAAAACAATTAACACCAAACAAAAATAATAATACATCAGCTGCACAACTAGTGATTCTAGCTCCCTACGTCAGATTTGATCGGAACCCCAAAAGCGACCATTTTCGCTGACGTCAATCAAAAACTGGGATTCCACAAGTGGAATCAAGATCGCAGCAACTCAAAACCAACAGAACATTTCATTCTCAGCGTACCGCTTTTCTATTCGGCAGCTTCGCCTTTTCTAGCAGCCTTACCTTGTCACGTAATTCCTCGATCGTATGGGACGCATCCTACAGAAACGGTAACCGTCAATAAACACAGTTCGAGCAAGCAAGGAGAAGGATTAAAGAAAATGAAACATATTCATATCAGTGGAACACATAAGTCAGATAGGATACCTGCAGCTTCTTTCTCAGATTTCTCTCTTCGTCGTCTCGTCGATCCCTTTCCTCAGCGAATAAATCAATGAGATTGTCTTGTTCCTTGTTCAATTCCTCGATCTTATGATGTGCTTGTTTGAGCTGATCAGCCATAAAACATTGTTACTTAAAAACATTCTTATAGCTGGAAATCCAAAGGTCGACAACTCAACTTGCAATTACAAATCTTTGCACAAGTGACAAGTAACTCATCGAGCATGCCTAGCACTAATTCCTTTAGACAACAACAACAAATACAAGCCTTAATCCCAAATTAATTGGGGTCAGCTATATGGATTTCTCATTTCCAATCTGCTCTATTAATCACGAGACCCTGCCGAAGCCCTAGATCTTGAAAGTCATGCCTAACTAGTCAGCCCAAGTAACTCTTGGTCTACCCCTCGCTCTCCTAGTACTAGGTATTTGAATGTTCTCCCAAGCATGAACAGGTGCATCTAACGATCTACGTTGTACATGCCCATACCACCTCAGACGGTTTTTCCACACCTTATATTCTATTGGTGCTACACCTATTTTACTACGAATAACTTCATTCCGTATGCGATCCATCCTTGTATGGCCAATCATCCATCTTAACATACGCATCTCCATCCCACTCATCTTGTATATTTGTTGTCTCTTGATGGCCCAACATTTACTACCATATAACATAGCTGGGCGAATTGTTGTCCTATAGAATTTTCCTTTTAACTTAATAGGCATCTTATCATCACATAAAACTCTTGTGGCATTTAAACATATTTATTTTATTAACCGCTTATGTTTACCAAATTTCTAGAGCTAGATGGTAGAACCATCAAGGGACATACCTCTGTCTCAAGAGAGTTGCACTTGCCTTTTTCATCCTGCAATTCCCGCCTCAGATCAGCTAAAATAGTTCCTTCAGATTTCTTCAATCTAGAGAGACGAGAAGGGACAATTAGTACATAGTGCGTGAGAAAGATGATAGAGTAGAGGGCATACATACAAAACGTAGCTTTGAAGATTTGAGTTTCATAGGTTAGGAGAAGTACCTTTCCTTTAATTCATAATTCTCTTCTCTCAATCGCTCCAAAGCACGCAATTCCAAGCTTGAAGAAACATGCCCGGTACCAGGGGTTTTCTTGCTATTGCTACAATTTGCTTGTTTCTTGGGTACGGAATTATGCATCTCGTCATCAGACTCATCACTAATATAGTCAGCAGGAGAAAATGATGATTTAGAAATACGTTTTCTTTTCCCAGATATTGGGGTATTCCCTACATCATCATCATCTCCACTCGACACATGTTTTCCATATCCATTTACAGTGGATGCTCCTTTTGACGCTTGTCTTTGATGTGTCTGGTTGTGTGAATGAGTTTTGTCAGAAATTGGGGTTTCTTTTCTGTTGCTTGTCCTAGCACCTTTTCCCTTAGATGCCGGAGTTTCAGAAAGGTAATCAGGAGAAGTTTCTACAGTCATCAAGTAATTTATGAGAGATCAAAGGGTGGAAAAGACAAACATCAAACAATATGTCAGTCCAATAAATACCTTTATTGCCACTGGAGACCTTCTCATTACGTCTCGGTGCATAACCAATCACATGACACTTGTCTCTCCTAGATGTATACGCGGTTAGAAGAAGAAAAGAAAAGAAGCAAACAAACAATAAAGTCACGTTTATAAGCAGTTTGAGAATAAATAATGGAACCCAATAACTTCTAACCAGTAAGTCTTTTGCATCTGTATCAGTCGTGCCTCAAGTCTTGCAAGAGCTGTTGTCCGTTCAAATCCTTGTTTATCATGAGCCGGTTCAACAAAGTTAGCTTCCAAGACCCCTGCCAGCAGAAATTAAAAGCATCAGATCTTGGACTACAGGACTAGGACTAATCAATGAAAGCCGTGAAACTTGAAGCAGAAACACACCTATAACTCCACGACCATCACTTCCTGCAGCGTTCCAAAGCCTCCAAAAAGGCTGCAAAACAACAAATATAAGAAGCTACTACTTGATGGTCGTGTGTCTGATAAGTCGATTCTAAGTCATTTTAGTCAACAGTTAAAACAAGATCAGTGATTATAAAAATGCACTTGATGGAACTATATCGACTTGCAATTCCCAAGGAGATATAAACAGTGCATAATTTATATTAAATTGCAACAAAATGAACTATAATGTAATCAATTGATTATAATTTATCATAACAACATGTCAAGAGACCTACTTAAGCTATTCATGGTACAACCGTAGAAACAAGAAAGTACCCAAGCAACAAACGTCTTATTTATAAAAGGAGAGGAAGTGAAGTGAAGAAGGGTAAATTAGATGATACCACATATCCAAGCGAATCATTATTTGTAAAATTGTTCAGAACTATAAGTACCTTAATCAGCCGATTCTTGTGATAGACATTGAATCCTTGAACATCGATATGGTGCTTCGCATCCTTGACAAACCCAATGGTGACTACAGCCATCATCTAGTGACAACAGTATCATGAAAATCAGAAATAGTATAACACATGGTGAAATAAAATCCACAGAAATCCTTACAGAAGATTACATTTGTATCTTTTGGGATCCCATCAGCACCATGTTGTGGCCGGTATGTAACCTTCTCAGAGTACATCATATCATTTACTATATTGTGGTGCTCAACATCCTTTCCTCGAAGAATGATTCGAAATCCAGGAGGAAGCCTCAGATACAAAATTGATGCATAGCTCTGAATGTTAAAAAAATAATAATAATAATTAAGCCAAATTATAAGAATAGAAGATGGTGCTTCACCAACATCGGGGCCAGAAGAAATTAAAATTAGATTATCAATAGTATAACTGACAATACCCTCAGTGAGTGCCGATAAGTCAAGAAATGACGAGAGTTGGGAAACTTTTTTGCCATTTGTATATTCTTCTCATCTCGATTGACCCCTCTAATTTGAATATCCTAAACAATCATAAAGTAACATGAAAGAAATTTTACAAATAGTATTCTGCTCAACAAAAAGAATAACTATGAATAAGAATAGCAATCTAGAGGCATACATGTTGATCGGCACCAAAATCGAGCTCCGAGTATCTCTGATCGTCCTCCCAAAGATTGTATATGATTATTCGTGTTCCATGATCATTCATCACAGAAAACTAGAAAGGAGATAAACAGCAAAGTTAATGACTGCCAAGTGGAAAAATCCTTTCAGGGAGAATGAGAAGAGGCAGAAGCAGCTCTTAGAGTGTAACTGCATGCTAAATTCCTTAATCTTTTGATGCTTTTTGATAAAGATTGACTGTTTTTCTATCGCTTTTTATGATTTATCAGACTTCCAATCCATGGAAAAACAAGCAATATGTTTCCAAGGAATATATTGTATAACATGTTTGACAATTTTGCTTATGCTGGGGAAGTCACCTGATGAAGAAGATCTGCCTCAGTAGAAAATGGAGACCATTGAAGTATTGTTTCCACGTTTTTGTTCCAATCGCCGAGAGAAGATCGAATCATCTTTCTCCATCTTCCTCCTTCACTTTCATAGTCAAGCTTTCCATTCAAACAAACAAGATATGATTAAAAATATATGATCCCGACGTACACTCTCTAGTAATTAATGGTGAAGAGCATGAACCATGCCCCATAATCAAGAATTAACATCTAACAGTTATCAATTTATAAACCAAGTTTAGGGATCAAGAATAGAGAGTAGAGGGAGTAAAGAGAAAGGGGAGGCAGTTAGCAGTTTCTAAAAAAATCAGTAATCCCATTACAAAATGCAGTTGGGTTGAGTAGTAATAACATGTTAAGCTGATGTTCACACTAGTATATTGAGTGTACAACATTTAACATCAAACTAATTACCTCTCTCCCCAAAATAGAAGATGATATGAATTAATGCAATACAATCGCACCAAAATTTTTGTGAGTTCCATCACGCATACAGAAACGAGAATTAAAATTTGTTCACGATCAACACATAATATTCAAAGGCATACCATGGGAACTACAATATCTTCCTTTCCTGTGCTCCTCAAAAATGTGTATGACAGCAGCCCAATGCTCTGTGTAGGTCTAAAACCATTAATGGAACATCAGAGTTAGTCTCTACTATTAAGAAAAGCCACTCACAGTTTAATCGTCATAAATAATTTCTTTTATGCATATACACATAAAGAAGGTGGAAAAAATCATGCAAAATAGTATTACCATCATCATAAAATTTTTGAACCAATAATTGCATGGGGGGGGGGGGGGGGGGGGGGGGGGGGGGAGA